AACTGATAATATAAAAATATGGTGGTTGTGCTGCGTTTTTAGTGTTTGAGCACATGCACCACTTTTTTATTTCTTTATTATAAACTGGTAGCTTTTGACATAAAAACGTTGTCTGCTTATTCTGATTGGTACTCCTCCAGGATAGTCTTCCATCCGACATCCAAAATTTTTCTTGTCATGCGGAATCGCACAGCAACCCTCTTTTGCGTAAACAAAATAAAATCTTGCAATTCTAGGCCTAACCAAAATGGGAAACCAGGCCTACTGACCTACAATGCTTTATCCAAGAGCAAAGGTCGCCCACGGACAATGAGGAATAGAAGAACATTTTTCTTGGAAAACAGGTGACGTCATCGACATGCGCTAGAATTTTCTAAATCCTAATTACGCCCCGCCAAAACAAACATATGAGCATTGTATCGCAGCTTCAATTCGCTTGTCGCTGCCACCCCCAGGCATTTATGGTTCGCTGGCCAATAGGAGAGTGCACGAATTTGAACCATGCGCGCTGACGTTTGTTTTGACGGGACATAAATAAGATTTAAATAATTTAAATATATATATATATATATATATATATATATAAATAAATTTGTAATTGTACTTAAGAGCTATTCCGATTTTTTTTCTCTAATTTTTTCTGGTCATTATCTCGAGTAAAATAGGCGTTTCAGTCTATGCATGATTCAGGATGGTAAAGTAACATCACCGCCCACTAGATGTTGTCCTCACATATTGGTTGTTATGCGGCCATATAATGGTACACACAATTTATACTCATTTTTAATTCTACACAAAAGCACCTCTGAACTACGTCCCTGAAGTCAGCTTCAGATTCAGATTCGAATATGATGGAATTACAGTGGACCAGTTCAGTAGTGAGCTCAAATCGGCAGCATGCTAGAAAGCTGGTATCGTCAGCTCCTGAGGGTCCTTTTATGTTCCTTATTATCAAATAAGGCCAAATTGTTCTAGACAGTATCCCAAAATTCGATATTACCAGTGGTGGAACGAACTTACCTTAATAGGCAAAATATCAAAAACGATTTCTTTCACGACGCTCCTACTGTTTGTCACGTGCTAAAATCACGTAACCTTTTTTTTACTATTTTGATCACTTACTAGTAGTTTGAGTCTCTCTTTATTAATGATAGAGTATCCATACCTAGGCCAACCCCTTTTCAATTGCTTTCTTTTGGTAAATTTCGTGTAGTTTATTGATTGTATAATTTCACACGTAGTACATCTTCCTTTCGCAGTGATTCAGTATTGTGTTGGAAAAAAACTCTGTGGTTTTTTCTCCGTTACTTGGTTTCCTGTCGAACATATCTTCTTCAAGTCCACTCATTGAACCTTCCTTTTATAAAGTTAGTTGTTTCGTATCAGTCACTTTCCTAATGAGCTTGTTAGTTAGTGGGGTCGTACCTCTTTATACGTTTAGTTTTTTTGGTTTGGGTGCTACCCCTTTCATTTGTTATGGGATTCTAACCTTCAGCGTGGGAGCCATTACGGAGAGCCACTCCTCCAGGTTGGGTTGTAGCTGCTTTGCGGCCGGAATTACCGGACCCCTTCTCTTTTTGTAAAATGTTATTAGACCTAATTGTACTACTGCTGTAAATACCGCATACCTGTTAAACTAAATCATAGGGTGATTTCGACAAAAAAGTCTCGTGAGTACATATTATAAAACTAAAAAAATATCAGAACCCAAACGAAGACTTGTGCCACCAACAAACTCATATATGTTATAAAGGCCTCATAGGGGTATATCTTTATGGCATAACTTTGCGAAAATTCAGGAGACTACAGGGTGGTTCTGCGCATACAACGGTTGACTCCTCAAAACAGAAAAAAATTCTCAGAACCCAAACGAAGGGTTGTGCCACCATCAGACTCATATATATTGTAGAGACCTCATAGAAGTGCAACGTCATGGCATAACTTTGCGCAAAATCAGGGGATTACAGGGTGATGCTACGCATACAATGGTTAACTCCTGAAAACAGAAAAAAATACGCAAAACCCTGACCAAGAATTGTGCGACTGACAGACTCGTAAATGTCGTAGAGACCAAATGGGAGTACGACTTTATGGCGTAGCTTTGCGAAAAATCAGAGGACCACAGGGTGATTCTGCGCATATAATGCTTGACTCCTTAAAACAGAAAAAAAAAACGTAGAATCCAAAAGATTAATTTTTCCACCAACAAACTCATAAATGTTGTAGAGACCTCATAGGAGAACATCTTTATGGCATAGTTTTGCGAAAAATCTACAGGATGGTACTGCGCATATAAGGGTTAAATCAGACAAAAATCGTTGAATCCAAACGAAGCATTGTGCCACCAATAAACTTATATACGTTGTAGAGACCTCATAAGAGTACATCTCTAAGGTATAGCGTTGCGAAATATCAGGGGACTACAGGGTGATTCTGCGCATACAAGGGTTGCCTCATAAAAACAGAAAAAAATCGCAGAATCCAAACGAAGAATTGTGCCACCAACAAACTTATATATGTTGTAGAGACCTCATAAAAGTACATCTCGATGGTATATCTTTGCGAAAGATCAGGGGACTAAAGGGTGATTCTGCGCATGTAAGGGTTCACTCCTAAAAACATAAAAACATTTGCAGAACCCAAACGACGAATTGTGCCGACCACAGAGTCATATATGTATATCGTAGAGACCTCACCGGAGTACAACTTTATGGCATAGCTTTGCTAGCTTTTGGGTTCTGCGATTTTTTCTGTTATGAGGAGTCAACTCTTATATGAGGAGAATAACCCTGTAGTCCCATGACTATATGCCATAAAGTTGTACTTCTATGAGGTCTTTACAACATATATGAGTCTGTTTGTAGCACAATTATTCGTTTGAGTTCTGCGTTTTTTTTCAGTTTTTAGGAGTCAACTCTTGTATGAGCAGAATCACCCTGTAGTCCCCTGATTATATGCCATAAAGTTGTACTCCTGCGAGGTCTCTACAACATATATGAGTCTGTGCGTGGCACAACTCTTCGTTTGGGTACTGCGATTTTGTTCTGTTTTAAGGAGTCAGCCTTCTTTGTGCAGAATCACACTGTAGTCCCCAGATTTTTCGCAAAGCTATACCGTAAATATGTACTCCTACGAATCCTTTACAACCTACTGTATGACTGTTCGTGGCACAATTCTTCGTTTGGGTTCTGCAAATTTTTTAGTTTTATATGTACTCACGACACAAACGGGTCGTTTAACAAGTATGCGGTGTTTACAGCAGTAGTACAATTAGGTCTAATAACACTAGGAGCGTCATGTAAGAAATCACTTTTCGTAGATATTTTGCCTATTAAGATAGCACACTAGTCCCTGTTATCGTTTTCCGTTCACTCCAGCGCTGGTAATATCGAATTTTAGGATACTATCTAGATTTTTTTTAAAAGCCTCATTTGATAATAAGTAAGATAAAACAACCCTCAGGAGCTGAAAATATCAGTTTTATATCATATCGGCAATTTGAGCTCACTACTAAACTGATCGACTGTAATTTCATCATATTCGAATCTGAAGCTAACTTCAGGGACGTATCTGAACTTTTAATTTGTCGTTTGAAAAACTTGCAAGTATCTCTGGCGTAATAAGCGTTTCTGTCCCTATGGGCCAATCCGTCACTGCGCCAGGGCAGCCTCTTCCAAGGACGAATCGGTCGTAAATCAACCATTCCACCCGCAGCGAGAAAGAACAGGTGGTCTCAGCTTTATTCAAAAGATGAAGTAGTTCAACCTGAATTGTTTGTCTCATTACAATTTGTATAGTCGAATTCATTCCAAATATATTTTTTTTCATAAGGCTCATTTGTTAAGGAGTAAAAGATTCAACTGTTTGTCACATAGAGGGGCTTCTCTTTGACAAGTGCAAAAAAACTGATTTTTGTAGATTGTTCCACAATCTCAACACCCTTAGGGACAAAGGAGCAGTCGTATCGGCTAGCTCTGGATGGACGAAGTTCGACACGGTTAGGATGGGAGGCCGGTCTGTCTGGCAGGCTCATCGCGCAGCATCAAGGAGGAGAGCTCTGACGAGCAAATCCCGTTGGTGTAGCGGTAGAAGAAAGCTAGATCGCCGACGGCCCTAAAGGGTCCTGAGACTGTCTGTTAGAGAAGAGTCATCCATCAGACGTACAGCATCGATAATGTAGTTGTGACAGCAGCACCCCAAACATGTGATCAATACTCGAGGCTAGATCTTATCTGGGCCTTGTATATAGAGTGAGATCATGTCGTGAAAAGTACTTCTTAGTCCTTAACAATTTACCTTGCTTTTTCCAAATAGCTGCCGCTATTGACGAGATGTGTTCGTGCCAGATCAAGACCTTGGTGATCTGGACTCCGACCAGCCGAAATGAACGGCTCTTTGACAGAACTCGGTCATCCATCGAAACCGGATGAGCGCTAGGACGCTTTTTGTTCGTCAGGGTGTCTTGGAAATTGTACAAGATTGTTGCGTCTCGAAGCAGTGATAACCTTCCAGGTCTCTCGTCACAGAGGAAGTTGCTGCTAGTCTTCGTTTTTCCATCTCACCCACAGAGATTTGCTCTGAGTTCCTGCATCTTACAGTGCTGTCGATTGGATAGATCGTACAGGAAAGGATCTCGTTGATATGTAAGAGGAACAGTGCCGGAGCCAAGACCCAAAACCGATCCCTGGGAACACCCACGTTGACGTTATGGGATAAAGAGAACTCGTCAATTACGACAGATAGCTTCCATTCACCCATCTGCAACACTTCTCTAGGAGACCATATAGGATATAGTGTTGCCATTTTGTGTTCAATGAATCATTTTAAGTCATTCATTCAGCCAACATATCAACAGCTATCGCAAGGTCTCTTAAAGGAACCTTATATTAAGTGCAAGAACTCTGGCAAAGTATTTTTTACATAATTAAGATTATTTTCTAGAAATTCAAAGGAGTAAAAGGTGAGGCTACAAGAACTATGCAAAGGAAATAAAATAAGACTCAAAGTACATCTCTTCCACTTTTATTAAACAAAACGCTGTTTCTTATTAGAATACATGTCAATGAATAAACATCTTACAACCTACGACCACGTCTACCGCCCTTCCTCCTGGTAGAATCAGATGGGATAGGAGTAACATCTTCAATGCGACCAATTTTCATGTTTGATCTAGCCAAAGCTCTAAGAGCACTTTGGGCTCCTGGACCTGGGGTCTTAGTTTTGTTACCACCTGTGGCACGAAGCTTAATGTGAAGGGCTGTGATTCCAAGGGATTTGCATTTCTCTGCTACATCCTATAATAAACGTTTTTGAAATGAGTAACATAATGATGGGTATATACAATATTTTAATAGTCATAATCATAGACATAAGAGTAAACATTTGTATTATAAACTCGTTTATACAAGCTGTTATCATAAGCACTAGTCAAGAGCATCACAAGGCTGACCTTTAATTGCTCATGGAAATGTATAAACCACCAAACCACCATGAATCTGGAGTAAATTTACTTAAAAATATTTTCAAACCCACTAAAAAACTACTGGAAATTTTAAAATATAGTGATGAAAGGTTTTTAGAATATCATGTCTGGGACATGGAATCATGCATCACTTATTTTTTATGACTTATGTGTTTCTTTTGCTATTTTTGACACTACTTTTCTCAGTAAATGCTGCACCAATTTGCCTGAAATGTCTTGGTAAATGTGCAAAAATTTTTGAAAAAAGATGTGCTGTTGAGACATATCAAGACTGGTAGACTACTAAGTTGTACTACTTTATTTAGGTAAAAGGCATGCAGTTTTGACACTAACACTTTTTGAATACAATTAGAAAATTTATCATTGATCACATTATTTAACAAAAATTGTTATTTTTTTCACTTCATCAACTAATTGATATTAATTACATCGCCTAAGTATAGACACAGTATATAAATTCATCAAAGTAAAACAAAAAAACAGTAGTTTCAAACTATACTGCTTTTATTCTCTGTATGATACAAGTACTGGATTTCTAGCATTCATAACTTATTATGATGTGTACCTGTTTAGTTTTTTTTTTGGTAATAACTCCATTATTTGTGAATAAGTATTTATTATTATAAATAATTACTTTTGCTACACAAGACTAACTTTGAAAAATATTCTTCATATAACATGGCATATAAGAAAACATGATGTTTTTGGTTTATTTATACTTGTAAGTATTTCTGTTGAATGTAATTTTAAAATGTAACTATATAAAATTTAATTATTAGATATTGGAAATATTTACTTTTGTGCTATTTATGCGAACTTCAATTACGAATAAATTATGTAAAAATAAAATAAAATTCAACAATTATGATCCAAAATCATAGGTACACTTAACATAACCACATATTTAGGGCTTATTGCAGGGTTAATAGGTACACAACAGAGTAATTTGTAATTCTGCACAAAAAAATCTTTATATGGGAATTTGTTTTTCCAAAATACCAAAAGTGACATTGACCACAGGAGTTATGATAATGAAAATAATTCAATGAAAAAGGTATATGTGCTAAAAATGAGTGAATAAATAATCTAAAACAGCATCTTGCAGAACTAATAGGAAAAAAATGACAAATGGATAAACTAAAATATAATTGAGTAAAATTAAAAACAGGCTAACAATTAAACTTGACAATATTTTTGAAAAAACAACAATATATGATCAAATAAACTAAAAATATAATGCAGCATCTATTCTCCAACATCACTTATTTTGTGTTGGTTTTGACATCGAGGTATTGCGAGACAATGGTGTTTTGGAAAAACAAATTTCCATATAAAAATGCTCTATCCAAGATTTTTGCGCAGAATTACATATTACACTGTTGTGTATATGTTAAACCTACAATAACTCCTAAATACATGGTTATGGTATGTGTACATCACCAAATCACTTTCAAATGACTCTATAAAATCCCATAACTTTTCAATATTTTCTCAGACGTCCCTTTTCCACTTTACGACCTTTACTAGTACGTCAGTGTAGGTTAGGCGCTTGACAAAACAATTGTTTACAATATTTTACCTGTGCAGCCAACATAGCGGCATAAGGAGAAGCTTCATCCCTGTCCGCCTTCACTTTCATGCCTCCAGTGACTCTGGAGATGGTTTCTCTACCGGACAAATCGGTTACATGAACAAACGTGTCATTGAAACTGGCGAATATGTGAGCAACACCGAAAACTATTTCTCCTTCGCGTACTTGAGGGCCCAAAGATAGCTGGACCTCCTCCTTTTGGACTTTACCTTTTCTTGGGGCCATGGTTTACCTAAAATTGAAGAAAATTGTGAGGTTCTATTGGACATATAGATGCTGTCAGTTGACAGTAGCAACAATAATCTTCAATCATCGGTATCATTCCAGCACATTTCACTGGGAATTTACATTTTATCATAATCTTGGAAAGTATATTTTCTATAGCCAGCAAAATTTTTTGTAACAAACCTGTACTTTTCTATAATTTTCCAATTTTTACCAAATACTTGCCTTCAACTTGGTCAATGTTTTGACAGCTGACAATTAAAAGACATGACACATGACAGTCGCTGTAGAGGTGGGAAATAATAATAGTAATATTACGACTTTTTATTATTTCGGAAAGGTTGGGGGCTACATCATATAAATGTTTAATATTATCTTACTATCTTAGTTTATTTCTTTGTAAATGGCCAAGATAAAGGCAGCAATGAATGATATTTTTTTTAAGATTTCAGAAGGTGTGATAATCGAGGATTAACATAATGGTTATTTTTCTCATCTCTATCCTAGTACATAGAGCACAACAGATACAGGACACAAAACTTCTAGTTGAGGACGATTATGTCACCTGTCAAGAGTAGTTTGCTTGAATGCTGGTGCTGCGTGCTGCCGTTTTCTCAATCTTTGTAGTCAGATGTCAGATTAACATTATTTTTTTACACTCAAATTTCACAAATTTCTTAGCACACTGCTTGTGTGTTACCATTGATTAACGTATTCTACCTTAATATAGTCAACCATATACTGTATTCTGGCATCCAACATGGATCTGAAGGATAATAAGACAGTAGCAGAGCTCATAAATATCTGGTCATCTGCTTTGGACAGAGAGTGCCTGATTCTGCTACCGTCTCATACATGGCGCTAGGATTACATCCCCTTTTTCGCGCTCGTCTAAAGCCTATTTTAATATATTCTCGTTTTCCGACTCCATCGCCATATATGAGACAGTAGAAGTTTTTTGTTCTGCTACTGCCTTATAGGTGGCCCTAGGATCTTTCAGATGTCTTTTTGGGGCTGAAGTATTGTATTCTGTTGTCTATCTTCATGTAGAATATATTTTATGGTTGAGCGTTCTCATGAGATTATTGTACGTATACGCTATAGTCAATAGTCATCCAATCCACCGCACGGATGGACACTTGGAGATGGAAGGCCAGAAACATTTCCATATAGATGTGGCAATGCCGATTGCAAAGCTGGACAACGCTGTTTTACTCGACATTTGACAACACCGCGCATGTGCCATCTCGCGGAAAATATTTAACTCATAAATCAGAAAAGGAATTTTGGTTTTCCTAAAATCTCGCTGAACTCCTTTTACAAAAAGCAGAAAAATACCTAAAAACACATTTAACGAAGTACAAGTGTAGTGCCAAAGTTGCGTCATCGTTGTTCCGGTTTGATCGAGTTTTCCGAAGAATTAAAAGAATAGCTGTATCGCATTCCAGAGATGTGGGAAAGTTAGGTGAATAGCTTGAATAGTTTATTTTTCTAATACGCCAGCTGTAATCTTTCGGGCTCCCAACATCTGATGGGGATGCTCCATCAAAGAATATCATCTATCATCAAAATCTCAGAAAGCTACGAACAAGGTATGACCGATTTCAGCATTTAACATTCCTTGAATACCATGAGCATTACACCATCAATCTTTGGTATGCTATGCACTTATTAAAAAATGCCTATTAAAACTTTTCAACCTTTAGATTTGCGGTTACGCTGCTGGAATATCACCTAGCTGACCTCTCTTCGTGCGTAAAATTGATGTAATCCTAAACAAATAAATAATATGGATGTCATAGCCAAGGAATTTTATCTGTTATCAACAAATATGTATGCTCTTTTTCCACATTAACCGCGATATCATTGGAATGTGAAATAATAATATCTACTGATATTTGGCTCTAGGTTATTTTTTGTACTGTAAATAATATAATGTTTATTATTCATATACAGTCCCTTTACAATAAGCTCATAAGATCTGGCAATTTCTTTTCAGTGCTGTAGCCATGTGATTGTGTTTAGATTGAATTTGTCATTTCAAAAGCACTTATCTATTTTTTCCAACTGAAAACATTTCATTAACGTAGTTGTGAATTCTAGTTATACATGTAAGTCTTCTTTCCCTCAAATAATACCACTCAATACATGTATTGTGCAAACACATTGTAATTGGTTTTTCCATACCCAACAGCAGTGCCCTTGATTTCTCCCCATGCTTGTCGGGGTAATAAAACCTCACATATTGACAGATCTTTATCCTTGATCGGTTTTATTTTGAATAGTTTAAATAATATTAGTTTGTAGATAATTTTATGAATGAGTCACTTTATTCTCTCACTATGGTTGACTCATAGTTGGATGTGAAAAAAAAAATTTCCAGGTGTCCAGGATTCCCCTATATACTTAAAAAAATTAAAACATGTAGTATTAAGTCAATATTTAAGTGCAATTTTTAGTAATAAGCAACTAAACATCTGATGCTTTTTCTTAAGTTATATATCACTAACCCTATTTACTGCAAAAACATAAATTCATAACAGTTTTTTGTGTTGTTTTCATTATTATTATCAAAAAATTATGAAGGTTGTTTGTAATTTCAATTCTTTAGAACTCAAATATCATGTTAAGGTCCAAAAACTTACTGGCTTGCTTGTCAGTGAAACATTTTTTATTGTCTCTTTAAAAATTTATATCATGAGGTTTTTGCAATCATTGATTCAATTATAATAAGCACATTTATGATTGTGTATAAAATCAGTAATTTCTTTTAAGTTGTCTTTTGTTTATTATCAGTGCATAGTCTTATCAACAACTGGTTTATTGAAATTTATTATTAAATAAATATAAAATAAACTCATCCTAAAAGCTGCAGTCCTTCTATATCTGGAAATGACATAATATTCATTTTCTACTTATTTACCCTATCAAATTTGGATACAGTTTCAATAGCTCATTTTCATGACTTTAGACTTTATCAGCTTGAAAATAAATTATAAATTATGGTAGCCTTTAATATATCATAATATCAAATAAGTCACACTATAAAAATTAGATAACCCAAGAGTTTACAAATAGGTTTATAATATGCTTGAAAAAATCATCCTTACAATGTGACACAAAATCAGGGCCAGGTCTACCATACTGGTGAACTAAGCCGCCAGGGCCTGGGAGGCGATTGAGCAAGTGCCTGTGAGAGGGGGGCCCTAGGCACGGGCCTAAGGATGAAAGGACACCTAGCAATTCACTCGGCTAGGGCACCTAAGACTCTGGCTGTGGTTCTGCTTAGAATCTAATATTTTTTGTAATATATTTGTTGTGATTACTCTGCAAAGTATCAACCTTATCCTTCTATATAATTCTCATAACTTCTCTCTGTTTCAGCTATATATTTTGATAAATCTTAAAGAAGCCCAATGATGCAGCAGTCTAGTAATAGGTACAGGCCATTCATGCAGAAAAATCAAGGTAAAACTATGTAAAGAATGCATTTTTAGTGATTAAACAGAAAAATTGAGATTTATCTTAATATCATAATTTATTATTTTTTATAGTAGGTAACTTTCCACAAAGTCTCAGTGGTAGTGAAACAGATGTGTCCACTTCAAATGAAAACCTATCAAATGAAGAAAAATATGTCATCAGGCATACCCCTAGGCAAGAACCACAAGGGCAAGAGAACCTGACTGATTCAAAAAGGAGTTCCCTTAGAGATAGTTTACCATCCAATCGAAGTTCATTGGATGTATCTTCCTCTTCATACAATACTTTGATTATACATAGTGCAGGAGATGAGCCATGGACTGGTGAGTAGGATTTACTTTTACAAGCTACCTCTGACTGCTATGCCTATTGACACTATTTAACATTATATGTATTATTTAAAATGCAGGAATTACAAATAATGTGAATAAATGAAAATATATTTCTTACCAAGCATATGACTATATTATTTTTTTTCTGATAATTTCAGGGAGGAATTCAGGGCCCAGGGACTCAACAAATATATCTCCACCGAGCTATTTGTCACATCAGTCTTCTAACTTCTACACTGACCCCAAGTTGTCACCAATACAGAAAAGGAGTTCAGCATCTCCATCACCTTCTATCACTAGTACAGGTGAGCATGAGCTTTCTTGAATCCAGTCATCTGTGCAATGCTTTTTGCGCAACTTGTTTTAAGGAAGCTGATTTGTATTTTATTTGAAATTGAAGGAAATGATGTGTAACTGTCAGACTTCGGTTAAATACTGAAATCTAGTATTAGAATATGAATCCTCTCATTGTATTTTAAATGTATTCAAATACTCAAGATTCAAATATAAAGGAAGAAGGCATTTGAATACTTCTGATTTGAGTACCTGAATTCATCTAAATATGAATTATTTTTGAACATTCCAACTAAACAGAAACTTGATTTTTATTTATGCACTTAGGTTATAAAGATATAAAAAAATAATAAATACATGACTACTTAATAAGAAAACAAACTAATTTTACACACTGTACCTACATCATTAAAAAATAAACTTGCCTTCTTAATATCCACTTTATCTGGTATCACAGTCCAATTATAACAGATATTAAAATTAATTATAAAATAGAATTGCAATGTTGCATAAGCACAAGTGCATAAATAATCTAATCTAGTTCCTTAAGCGATCTGCCGGCATCGCGATTTCAGACGCACCACCATCAACCCAAACAAAATAAACTTATGTAGCTATTTTGTTTGTGTCAACCACAATAATCGCGAACGTGTTTTAACACACTGAAGTTGCGTAAAGCATAATGCAATATTCATAAGAATAGCCAAACATGATTCCAATACAGGATTTGAATACAAAGTGGGTATTTGAATATTGGGATTCAGAATACAGAGTATTTACCAAAAAGTATTTAGTTGAATACCAGATATCAAATACAAATTATCTGAATACCAGCCAAATGTATCCAGAATAGGATTCAAAATACCAAGTACTTATTCAAATACAACCCAATAGGATTCAAAATACCAAGTACTTATTCAAATACAACCCAAGTCCGTAACTATGAAAAATATCTGAAGATACATTTTTTACCATGTGACATATTTCAGTAGAGCATTCCAATGCAAGATAATGTATATCATAGGGATTGATATCAGTTCAGCTATAATTAATACAATAAGTTAGCTCCAACAAAATACGTTTCAACAATTTTTCTATGTTGGTCTTTGTTGTCACGCATTTCGGCTAATTAACATTCACATTTTTAGAAAATGCAAAAAACTTCAGTAACTGAAAAGAATGAAGCCCTTAGTTGTGCTATCAAATGTCAAAATATACCAAGCCATTAGGGCTGTAACCTGTGAAATAGAAATTTTGAAAATTCGCCATTTTGATTGTATACAATTTCAGTATCTCCACTGTCAGTCACATTATTAAGCAAAATCTAGAGACACTTTGTATGTCAAATTTCATCAAACTGTTTAAACAAAAAATTTCGAGGTTGAAAATTACGTTTAAAATCGTTTATTTTGAAATTGAAGTTTTAAAGTTTATATAATTTTAATGTAATATGTCACTTGCACTGCTAAAACGAATCCAAAAACACCTTACATGTCAAAATCTATCTAGCTATTTGGACTGTATTCCGTGAAATAGAATTTTTTGTCCACACATAAATACCCACACTTTTGAGGCACTCGGGTAAAAATGGGTTTTTCACCTTTTTATTTGAATAATTTTGTATTGAAGCCATGTCTCATCAGATTAGATAGAAAGTATGTAATTTGATTTGATGTGTTATAATGATTTTTTTAAATTTGACTAGGTGTACAGGAGATAACAGAAATTCCTGACGATTATCTGTCACAATCGTCGGTTTTGAAACACCTCGCAAAAGAAGTAAAAGGACCCACATCAGGCAACGCGTTGAAGGATGACAATGTAGATGGCGGTCTTTTGAGCAAATTTGACCCCTCTATCTACGAAAAACGTCTACCCCCTCCTCCCGAATATCCTGGGAAGTGGGCGGATAGATCACCATTACAGCAGGAGGTTAACGCGAAAAACAAAAATGTTATTTCCGTTGAGAAGACTAGCTTATCAAAGGTAATATTCTTTGATCGTTCACAGTGATGAGTGGTTTTAACTTAATCCAATCTCAACTAGGTGAGGCGATTAAATTGAATCTATTTCAGAAGGCACATCAAAGGATGATTTCATATAATTTGTGACTTTCACTGCCTAGACTATTGCTGTAGTTGTTGTAGTGCAATTTTCGACTTGCCTTTATCGCTCGCCTATTAAACTTGCAGGGTTGATCATGGAATCATGTAATTTTTTCAATAACTTCTATAGGAAACGGTAGGGCGAGTTTTTGTTGATAACTCTCACAAGTTGAGTAGATAACAGAACTATCCAGCATAACATGAAAGATTTTTTCATTCAGACTTATGAAACTTGACCCACAGCCTACCAAAATGAAAAAAAAAACATGGTGCCGAAAAAGTAGCAACTGATTTTAAATATTTTTTATTGTCGTAAATTTTTTACATTTTCGGTAATAGCTCTATCTTTCGACATATAAGCACTTTAATGTTTGAAAAAATGCAAAATATGCCATTTTGGACCCCTAGAAACAGTATGAAAAAACGGAAATTTTGATGATGCCAAAGTTCCTAAATATCCTTCACACAGCCAGTAACAAAATCTAAAAGACATTTAAGGGGTATTGTTATCGCAAAGGTCTACAATAACAATATCCCCCAAAATGCGTTGGGATGTGGTTAAGAGGTGTTTGAAGGATATTTAAGTACATTCCCAAAATAAAATTTCCGTTTTTCATATTGTTTTTGGAGTCGTAAAGGCCATATTTTGATTTTTCAATTTTTGAATTAATTTTAATAATAGATTACACATATCTCTATAACTGGGGCTGCTACGAAAAAAGTTACACATTTTTGAGATCAGTGCATCAAAAATTCTCAAATTCAGTCCTTACTTCTGTAGCACCAAAATGGATAAAAAGAGCCATAATTTTACTACTCACAGAAAAAAACAAATACAACTAATCACTTGATAGTTTTCTGTACTTGCAAAGATAAGCTGCAGATCGTTTTCTCTTCTTCTACATTTCACAAAAGTGGAAATACTTCCGAACTACTGAGTTTCGGATATTATATAAAATATGGGGTTCATTCAATAGGTGATGACTTACTCTAACATCAGGCTTCTGTTGAACCTGCCATAACTGTACACCCTTTATAACCTGATAGACGTCCTCTGATATCATAACGAAATAAAATTTTAAACTTTACAGTCTCAACCGGACCTGAGCACGGCAGGCACGCCCAAGCCAGACCTCGCATCATTCCGAAGAGGTGTCAGCGCTCCCAGACCTCCTACAAGAGGCCGAGAAGAAAACGATTCTAAGGTATCGGAAGTATGGCCGTCCGCCGAAATGGTCGAAATTCTCATTAGGGAGAACAGCGCATTGAAGCAGGAGCTTGAGAATTGCTATCAGAGGGTAGAGAGGACGCAGAGGGTGAGTGGTATCAGATTGGTATGTTGGAGAGTGAAACTTCCCTCATTTAGAATCGCTCCAAAAGCCTCAGTCATCGTTTAAACCCTCTCAACTTAACCCATACGTTTCCAGCGTTGATAACATTAACATTGGACTGTTGTGAGCTTTCCTCTATTGTTCTAAAGAATCACGTCAACTTATTCCGAAAAATCTAACGTTTTTGCTCTCTGTTGTTTAAAAACTAAAAAGTACTTATTACTTTATCCCACAAAATATAAAGAATACAGTGCTGTGTAACCTCACTTTTATGGTGATGGGTCTGATGGGACTAGTTCACGATACTACACTGTACATGCAAATGCCGCCTGAAAATGTGATGTTGCTTTGGAGTGATTGCGAATGGGGAACTTATGGTTGTGAGATTGCTCATTTTCTACGAAAACCAAGTGTTTCTAACTGATTAGTGGTAGTTTGTAGTCGGTGCTGGTCTTGCTTCTTCTTGTGAATGGAATACTTTCAAGAAACTATACTCGGTGACATTAGAAGTGTTACACCCAGAAAAAATAATTTCGTCAACTTGATTTTCTGGCAATGAGATAATCTTACATCAAGAACTAAACGATAACATTCTCACGAAATTTTGTTGACAAGTAATAAGAAAAAAACTAATAACACTGGACAACAAATTTTAGTTTTTTAATTGTATCTTGTGGGAAAAGTGCACTTCTTTGTTAATTTTGGGGCGCTGAATCCAAAAATGACAATGAAATTAGTTGCGGTTTAGAAAAAAAACTTTATTTTTAAGGATATATTAAAAAAAGTAACAAGATTCATATACTTATAAGAATCACTATATGCGCTGTCTTTTTGCTGTTATTTTATGGATCGTTTCTGGAGCATCTCTACCAAGAGTCCAACAGTAGTCTGCAAGCATGGAAGGATTCCACTTTCCCTGGTACCTTTTTTCCATTGTTGAAATATCCTGATGAAAACGTTCGCCGTGCTCATCACTTACGGCTCCGCAATTGTCAGGAAAAAAGTCCAGGTGTGAGTGTAGGAAATGTATCTTAAGAGACATATTACAGCCCATCTTTTGATACGATGACGGCATATTTTTGACAAGGGTTTTATAGTTGTCAGCTTTTCTTTTTCCCAAGAAATTAGTGACCACCAGACGGAAATCATTCCAAGCAGTTTTTTCAATACCTGTTAAAGTGTTTTCAATCTGTGTATCTTTCAAAATATTTCGAATCTGTGGCCCAACAAAAATACCTTCTTTAACCTTTGCCTCACTTAGTCTTGGAAATTTCTGACGCAGGTATTGAAAAGCTGACCCATCTCTATCTAATGCCTTGACAAAGTTTTTCATTAGGCCCAACTTGATATGCAGTGGTGGTAATAAATTTTTTTTCGAATCTACTAATGGCATTTGCTGTACATTTTTTTGACCTGGCTCTAGGAATTGACGAACAGGCCAGTTTTGTCTGGTGTAATGAAGTGCCTTTGCCCGACTGTCCCATTCACACAAAAAACAGCAAAACTTTGTGTAGCCTAGCTGCAGCCCAAGTAAAAGTGCAACAACTTTCAAATCGCCACAAATATGCCATTGGTGCTCATCGTATTTTATGCATGTCAATAGGTACTTCATATTGTCATATGATTCTTTCGTGTGAACTGCATACACTACAGGAAGAGATGGTAAAATATTTCCAATATACAATAACACTGCCTTTAAACTCAATGTTGAACTGTCTATAAACAATCTCCATTCTTCTGGGTTATAGTTTATATTTAAAGCCGCCAGTAAGCCGTTAATGTTACTGCAGAAAACCAAGTTATTCTCCATATTGAAAAATGGTTCTAAGTCTTTGTGGCGTTTACGAAAAACACATACCGAAACATCGTCTTTCTAACAAGTTCCACTGCTGCAGTCTTGATCCAAGTAACTCTGCCTTACATTTTGGAAGTTCTAAATCTCTTACAAGATCATTTAATTCTGACTGTGTTATTTTGTGCGGTTGGTGGCATGACGTGCTCGGTGTAAAATCAGGATCTCTTGACGTTGATGGCATATCTTCTTCCTGACGAATCACTCGATCGCCATGATCTGATTCGTTTTCTGATTCGCAAGTGTAGGATTCTGGGGGTTTTGGAATAGGATTTTCGTCACGGCACAGGTCTCATCGCAGATGGTTTGTTTGGGTAGTTAATAACCGATTTTTTTTTCTTGGACATACCTGTAGCTTGTCCAACACAAGGTACCATGCAAAAGTAACAATCATTAATATGATTTGTAGGCTCTCTCCAAACCATTGGGACAGCAAAGCGCATGGACCGTTTTTTGCCATTTAACCAGCTCCTCAGACTTGAAGCACATGTATTACAGCAGATGTGGGGTGCCCACTGTTTGTCTTGATCACCTAGTTTGCAACCGAAATAAAGCTGATATGCCTTTGTTATTAGTGGAGTAATAGACCGTCTCTGAGACGCAAAAGTCACATCACCACACACGTAACAAAACTGATCTGGATTGTTTACACACTTTCGAGATATCTTGCATGAACGCTGTCAGCCAACTGAGGAAAAAATGGCTAACATAAAACAATATAATATACACGTATGTATAACGTAACACAATCATGCCGATTACATCATCTTTCCTTGCCGAATATAAAAATGTAGCACGTGCATTCTTGTGAATTACAGTATATTAACACTGTCACAGCAGGAACACATATAATTACCGTATCTCTAAAACTTGAACTAATATTGAAAAAATAAGTTTCATTCCGGTTTTAGCACATTAAAAATAGTAATATTTTGTTGATTTTATTTAGGATATTTTTTGGCTGTTAATCAGTGTAATGTGTTGGGCGACCCCGCAGCTGAATACACTCCTGTATGCATCTAATCATCGACAAAATGTAAGTCGAACTTCGTGGATTAGCTATGTCAGAGTACGTGGCGGATGGTGCAAAGTGGATAGTCCCCCCTCCCCATCATATCCCACACATGTTCGATATGATTTAAATCCGGCCACGCCAAAACATTAACGCCTGCTTTTTGAAAAATTCCATACTACGACGAGCAATATGGGGTCGTACGTCTTGCTGAAAAAGGACGTGTGGACGGCCCTCTAGATACGGCAGCAAAGTGGTTTGTAGGACATCGTCAAGATAACGCGCAGCCGTATATTGCCTTGAACAAACAGAAAGGGTGATCGGCTACCATAGGCAATACCCTCCCAAACCATTACTCCAACAGTCCTGTGTGCATGTCTCTCAACAGCAAATCCAATATCACGCGGTTCTCAACGACGGCGTCTTACCCTGCTACGACACTCGTGCGTACCTAGACAGAATCGCGTTTAGTCGCTGAAGATGACATTATGCCATTCTGCCTCCCAGTGTTGCCGTTCTCTGCTCCAGTTCAAACGTTGACGACAGTGGTCCGCAGTCAGAGGAAGCACTAACCCTGGACGGTATGAAAAAGTCCAAAGGCTCGAATGCGGCGATAGACTGTACGCATAGTAATAGGTCTACCTTCTTTTCCAAACCATTGGTCAGCGATCTGACGCGTACCTAGTAGCAAAACGGCCTTGTAGGGCTAGTTTTCTGAAGCGCCTATCTTGACGCTCTGTGGTACGCCTCGGTTTGCCAGTTGACCTACGTGTTCCTCTACCTTCTTCTATCCACACACGACACACACGCGCGCTTTACCGTCATTGCAGTACAATTCACACGGCAGCCAATTTGGCGATAGGACAAACCAACATCTCGATAGGCAATAATTCTGTCCCTGTCAAAGTCGCCAGCATGGTGATAATTTGAACGTCTTCGATCTCGAGGCTATTTGTTATCTTCAACACTAGTAATAGTCTAATCATATTAGCAAATTTCCCCGAAATAATTGTAGTCTGGTTTTATTGGTGCAAGTTGTTCAAGGGGGTATTTAAAACATGGACGCATAAAATAGGTAAACGCCTCGGTGTTCCTCTACCTTCTTCTAGCCACACACGACACATACGCATTACCGTCATTGAAGTACAATTAACAGGGCGGCTTTAAATATAGTCATTATGTTGCAAAAAAACAAGTTGAAAAAATATTTTTTTCTGGGTGTAACACTTCTAATGTCACTGAGTATATTTTGATATAGAATGCTTAAAGTTATCTAGTCTAGGAGGGAGTAAATTAAAGGAAAACGACGCTCCACTCCATTCACAAAAAAAACTTGTCCTAGTTACTAAGTTACAGTCAAGATGCGATCTCTTTGATCGCGATAATTTAACACACTCTTAATTCGAAGTGCCCTCTTGTCTTAATTTTGTACTATTGGCATTAGGGAACCTGTTGCAGTTTCTTTTTTGTTTAAGATTATTTAGCATGATTGTTACAATTACATTCTTTTAAAAAACTGAAACAATTACATAACATACAAATATTCAGAAAAACAAAACTTGCAATTTTGCATAACATTTATTTCTTAATTGACTTGAAATGAACTTGAACATGATCGTTAGCAATTATATCAATTTGTTGATTCTGACTGTATGCAGAGTATTTTTTTTTTTGATTAATTTATGCAAAACTACACACATACGAGAGTTGATTCCTATGTTCCGCCCCTAACTCACTTGCAATAAGGCTTCTTTTAATATGCTTTTTTATTTTCTTACATAACAATATAATAAAATGATGTGGAAATACTAAAGAATATTATTTCTCCAACTAGAAAGAATGAATTATCTAAAATGCGTTTTGAAGATAGGGTAGTGACAGAAAAAACAATTATACCAGAAAGAACGAACACTTATTTTGTAGACAGTATAAATCAAATAGTGGAGACGATTGATGACGGTGATCCCAACTTATGTTCATTACAAGTATGTCATAATTCATCAATGAATCCATTTAAGACAATAAACATCAACAATCTAACAAAAGCTGTCTCAGAATTTAAATCTAATAAAAAACCTAACGAGAAACTCTCAAAAAAGATTGTAAATGATTGCTTCAGTATAATTGGAGATGAATTATTTGAGACTATACAGGGTGTTTCAGAACTAAGGGATGAAACTTCTAGGGGTTATTCAGCGTAGCAGTAGAAAACATTTGAGTATAGGGACCCATATCCGGAAAAGTGTCACTACGGCACTACGGCCCTAAGACGCGTTAAAATTTAGAAGGACGATGAATTGTCTAAATAGGATTTAATGCATTTAATTTTTGCTTTTTGTACATGATATCATCACAACAATTGTTCAAAATATCTTTCTCCAACCTGAATACATCGATTTAAACGTCGCACATGATTTTGGCGGACTTGACTAAACATTTGATACTCGTTTTGAATGATTTCGAATGCTGCTGTAATTCGTCCAATTAAGTCTTGCTCTATATCAACTGGAGTTTCGTAAACCAAAGACTTTACATGTCCCCGCAGGAACGGTGTATTCAGGTTGGAGGAAGACATTTTGAACAATTGTTGTGATATCATGTATAAAAGTCAAAAATTAAATGCATTAAATCCTATTTAGGCAATTCATCGTCTTTCTAAATTTTAACGCTTCTTAGTGCCGTAGTGCCGTAGTGTGCCGGCCGGATATGGGTCTCTATACTCAAGTGTTTTCTACTGTTACACTGAATAACTCCTACAAGTTTGATCCCATAGTTCTGATAGGGAAATATTATTAATGAAATTAAATCACTATGGTTTTAAAGGATCAGTATAAAACACTTTGCAAAATTCTTTAGTAAATAGAAGCTCGCAGACTAAAATTGCAAACATTATGTCAAGCTCCTCAGAGCTCTCCTCCATGATGCCGCCGCGCGATGTGCCTGCCAGACAGACCCGCCTGACTTTGGCCTCCTATCGTAACCATTTCGAACTTCGTACACCCCGAACTGGCCGATACGACCTAATCTTAGGCTGTTAAAAAATCAAGTTAACAAAATTTATCTGGGATCCTTATAGCAGCCGCGGCGTCATGTTGTTTCTATACCTCTTGTTTAATCAGGGTCCATGTTGTGAAAATGGGCGCATAATCAAAAATTGTTTTATAATAAACTAATCTCAAGTTTTGCGTTGGGATTTGGTAGCCTATTTATCGTATCGTATTTTTTTAAAACAGCTCGAACAAGAAATTTTCAAAGTCCACAAAAGCCATGAAGAACTGGTTGCGTCCTGCGATCGGAGGGAGAGGCTGGAAAGAGCGGCAAGAGCCAGACTCCAAGCCGACGTCAGAAGGCACCAAGAGCTGTGTAGAGCGCTCAGAGAGCAGTTGGATTTGGTTAATGCACAGCAAGCTGTTGGAAGGTCACCAGGTTCGTCACAGGATCAGGACGCTTTGATCAGGGAGCTGGCGAAAAGGGAAGCTATTATCAAACAGCTCATCACGCAGAGTAAGTTCTAGTCATTTTTAAAGCAGGGCTTAATCGACAATGCGCTGCTCTCGGTTTGTTTCGGGCTCCTTACTTTGAAGTATTCAGTCTGATATCAGTTAGAACCTAGGAAATGACGGATATCTTGGAAAATTGTGGTACACACATTGTTCACTGACTAAGCGGGTTCTGGTGCTGGGGTTACTGGGACCATTGATTAATGTATCCTCTAAGTAGTTGCCAAATTGTATACTGTATTTGGACGACCACATATAAATTCCATTACCATAGTCATGTTGCCAAGTCAGTAGGATCATAGTAATTTCCTAAATACCCAGTTTTCCTTTTGAACACTGTTTATTCTTAAACATGATGATCAACCTTTTCAGCCCCTTAGGCGAAGATTTATCAGAATTTCTGAGATGGAAAAAGAAACCCCATAACCTGCAGCACCAGTCCTACAGTTGGCACACTGACTCCTAAGGACGGTGATCGACACATATATAGTGAAATGATTAGAATAGGTTTTTACTTAGCTTTATGCTACAATGTTACATTAACATGAACATAACAAAAGTCACATGTAACTTTGGGGTTATTTACTAGAGGTAAACCATTATAAAGTCAAGAACAATAAAGTCAGTCAGCATCATGTCTACAACACAATACGGAGAGACGTAAAAATTTGGGGACTTACTAACTGATACTAGAGAAAGGTGATACCTAGGTGGTTTTATCCGCGAACTCATCGATTTTATAATCAATTGACCTGGCCACTACCAAAATCTTGACCTGTGACTGTCAAGCAATAAAATACGTTTTATTTTGCACTAGCTGTTACTCGTGACTTCGTATGCTGGAAACTGTTACTAATATTGTTTTTAAGTAATGTTCCGATCACGTGTTGCATTTTTGCATTACATTAACAATTTCTTCACGACATTATTCAGATGGATTTCTTCAAGGTCATCCTGATTGAGGTAAATCTTAAGCAGAAACTCAATTCATGAAGAAATCTGTGGATTGATTGTCATTGTAAAACAGATATTAGTAAATTGTCAGCTAACTTTAATGCTTGGGAAATTAGGTTACTTTACTAGTAGCGCACCTACATGCCAGAAACCATGTAGTTTTCTATAATAAAATTAAGTCTGCATCTGTTATGATTTCCTACACTATTAAAAAAATTAAATTTTTTCTCAAGACTTTGATTCGATACCGAATAAGGAGCTAGTAATGATGAACAATAATTGAAATATGAATATATTATTGTGCTATAGTTTAGTTTTATTACACCACGGAGAATTTGGATGTTTTTTTTCCGAAGTATCCTACATTTTTAACAATTTTTTTCTTCCCACGCATACTGGCGGACAAGTATTGTAATCGTGAACATTTTCGAAAATGAGATATTGCGCTTTTTAGATGTTATATGACATGTAGTTTACGAAAAATCAAGTCACTCATTTCCGCTGAACGTATAACCGCCTATAACTTGGGAAGTACCGCTCGATTTCGATGAAATTTTTACACAATGTTATTACTATGCCAATCACGCAAAAGCTTTGTAGTTTTTGAAAATCGGTCCAGTGGGGGCAGAGAAAATGCCCTAAAACGAAAAAAGTAAAAATCGCTCAAACTCCGTCTTTTGACATTTCAGAGGATCCTGATCATTTTTGAAAAAACTTTTTCGATGTAAGTGCATTTATAGGCTCCAAATTTTGGTATTTCTATGCACCTAATCGACATATTTCACGCATCATACTCTGTACTGTATACAATTACCCCTTAAGACTTGGAAACATATTCTCGGCAGAAATGTTCTTTTGTTCTGGTAAGGTATCACACTACCGCTCTACCACGTCTGGCCGATTATTGGTGAGAGGCAAAGTTTCCAGATGCACTACCGGTAGGGTTTGATTGATTTTTTTTTGAGGGAGTCTAGTTTATGCTGAACATAATCCTTTCTGAAGTGGAAGTGCAGAGTCAACCTACTTGACGCCATTTTTTTACTCATAGTGGTTACCGCCGTTACGGTACATATGCCCGTTTTCCCACTGGCACGGCTTTCAATTTAACTGGATATTGTCGGGTGGAATATCTTAATCAATGCTTTAACTCTCCCATTCATTTATTTGTTTTCCGCTTTGCTGATTGATTTTTGTTGCTTTCAGATAAGGAATTATCTGCGGCGAAAGAGCGTCAAGAAATAGAACTAGCGGCCCAACGTGCTACTTTGCAGGAGCAAAGAACGCACATTGACATTCTAGATACGGCTTTGATAAATGCGCAAGGCAATGTCGTGCGTCTAGAAGAAGAGGTAGGTAACATTTTTCGAAGTCTTGTTAGGTAATTAAAATTCGTGCATTAGAAAAGATTTCATTTAAATCATCTGAACGGCCTCTGGAGGGGTCAACAAACAACTTCGTTCTTTTACGTTTCAGAAGATCCTAAATATTTTCAGATATTTTTTTGCTTATGTTAAAAATTGGACGTTGAGACTTGTAGGGAGTCAGGGAGAGTATATGTAATTTTTTTTTGGTTTTGGCAATTTATACGTTTGCAACCCGGCACGGGTATTACCTATCTTAAAAAGTGACATTTTGTCGTTTTTTTACATTTCGTAGGTTTTTCAGCAATGTGTTAACTTAGCACAAGCTGCTGTACACTTGTGAACTCGTTTTGTAGCTGTACGTGTTGCTTAAACGTCAGCCAACAGCGACCACAGCAAGCAAACGTGAACTATTTGCACACTAAAAACTGCCTAGTCTGCCAGATGACATTTCGTCGTTTTCTTTTTTGCCGCTTTTTAGGTTTTTTTACATAATAGCCGTGCCGTTAAATCTATGCACCTATTAGAAATATTTCAAATATTATAGATTTCTCCGCTCTAAAAACTTGAATGATATTCAATTGAAATATATTTATATAGACAGTGTCATTATACGTAGTGACAGCAAGATAGATAGTAACGCCACTTTATTAATTCGTGAATGTATTTATTAAATTCACAATAAATGTTCGAACTGCCTTCCTTCACCAACAATGCAAGCTTGACATCATCTTAAAAATGATCGACACGGGTATTATGTAAAAAACCTATAAAACGTCAAAAAAAAAAAAACGTATAAGATGTCATCTTGCAGACTAGGTAGTTTTTAGGGTGCAAACTGTTATTCCACGTTTGCTCACTAGGATCGTTGTGGAGCCATCTATGGAGGAATGGCTCAACTACACGTTTACACGCCTTGTTGGTTGCATATGTTTTGTGAAGCCGAGTGCTCTATAGTTTTCATTTTAGAGTCTCTGAGAAGAAAGTTGGTTACTTGGTTGAATAGCAAGATCGGGTATTGGTCTGCATGTCTATAAATCAGTGATATTTGCTGTGTGAGAAAATCATTACTGAATATGGTGCCAGTGAAGTATATCTATCAGCTGTGCCCGACGGGTTATTTATATGTTGTCCTTCAAAGTTATCAATTTCGATTTTTTACTTTTTTTGTGTTATCAAAAACTTTGAGGAGAATTACGGGAAATCACGACCGTGCCCGCGTTGCGTGTAATTACTGTTAGCATGTATATGACACTTGTAATTCCACAGAGTACAGTGAAGTGAATATAATTGTTTCTTATCTCTCTCATTTTTGAAATTCATCAAATTTGCATAATGTAATTTACAGAATGGATAAGAAAAAGTGGATGCGCAACTAATTTCTAGCTTTGAATATCAAGTAAGTGTATTTGAGACAAGAATCCAATGGAATTATGATCAACACATATTATTAGCACACAAATCCCCATTATGCTGTTACCTCCAGTAATGCCACCTTTGAAGCAGATTTTACTTCACATCATAGCCAAACATTGATAACTGAAGCCTTAGGACGTAAAGCTACAAAACGAGTTCACAAAAGTGTCCATCAGCTAGTGCTAAGTTAAGATCTTGTCGAATATACGTTTTTGGATGCAAAATATTGATATTCTCTCAAAATCACAGTTTCGGAGAATACTCCGTTCTTGACGTATCCGTTTATCTATTGCTAACTTATAATAGCAGTTCTATAATTATTTTCTTTTTCACTATAGTGCCGCAAGAAACAGGTGTACATGGAGCGCGTAGCTCAACTGCAACGCGCTCTCAGCTCCTTGCAGCTGGCGAGCGACCGACGAGAGCAAACCGAACGAAAGCTACGTGCTCAGCTGGAACGAGAACTGCAGCGGGCCAAAGCTCAGCAAGGTAATCAGGGAGCCCAGGGAGGTGATGGAGAGCAAGGCATAGCAGGAGGGGTAAGTCTGGAGCTCAATTTTAGGAAAGTTTACGAAATAAAGAGAGGTTAGGGAGACACATTATTTCATATCTTGACTTTTAAAGAAGTCCTGGAATGGCAAGATATTGGACAGTGTGCAAGTGGCATGGTAAAAGTAAAATAGAATTTTTGAGTTAGGATATTCCGCTGGCTATTTAGTGAACTTTTAATTTAAGCCTGACCGTGACCTGGAAGATCAAATCAACGTCGAGACGATTTTTTTAAATGGGACACTATACTTTATACCCCCGAGCGTTCAGACGTGGTCTTAGGTGAACATTAATTTGACGAAGATAAAGCAAAAATGACAGCAGGAGCTTTCATTTTTCTCTCTGACTATTCACTGAGGAGCTTGAAACTGACCTTTACGATGACGGTCAAAGCAATGTCAAAACAATTTTCTTACTCCAAACTTTTCACCTCGGAAATGGGACAGAGTGGAAAATATCATGTTCAGATAGATATGATTGAGTGAACATCATTTTGAAATTTAATATCTTGGTCTTAACATATTTCATAAGATTTATCGAATGTTTTTTAAGATATAATATAAATGAGAATATACCTAAGACCTGAAAGCACCAGCAGCTTAAATGTTTTCTTGGATTGAAACTCACATTGGCCATAACGTTGAAGGTCAAATCAAAGTCAAGACAATTTTTTACTTTTGACCGCCAATTTTACGCTCTGGCATGATCTTTGGTGAAAATTGTTATTATCTTGATTTGACCCCCAAGATCATAAAGCTGTTTCAAGGTAACCAGTAAATAGCCAGAGAAAAATTGATTTCCCATGATTTAGAGTTTTAGATTTAGAGTTCTTATTGCTTTATCTTTAGAAATATCCCTGAGATGTTTTATAACCAGGGTTTTTGAGATGACCTTGACAGTATATAGAAGGCTCAAATGATTTCCACCCAAGGTCGTACAAAAACGTAAAATTTTTCGCTCTACGCATTTCTGGCGTTAAAAGTGCCGGGTCACATATAAAAAACATCTGAACCACACCACTATTTTGGTTTTACTTCAACCCTTGTGTATTTCCAAATATCTTGTTGTTCTGGGACTTTTGTATCACCTTTTATATGTGACAACTGCAAAACGATTCCATATTTCTAGGGCAGAAGTTTCAAGATTCATTGAAAATTAAGTTATTCTGAGCATCAGAGTTGAGGGTAGATTCATCATGTAAAAATATGAAAAAAGTTCATACAGACAGAAAATTCCCTTGATATGGGGTGTTTAAACATTATGTTTAGCAGCACTTGTTTTTGCGTGTCATTTTCTCAAAAACCATTTGATATTTGAGAAATATATCTGGCTTTATGACATTGTCATATTTTTTTGCAAAAAAGTGGCGTACTGCTTTTTTGCTGGCACGAATGCCACATATATATTTTTAACTTATCCAATATAATAAGTGAAAACAATCTGGTGGGTGCATTTGCCTTTGCATGAAAATTGATTAGAACAGCAAAATCACTGGTGAACAAAATTAAAATAATATTTTGTGACATGGACAAATCAAGGTGGTTATTATGTAAAAAGTACCCAAAAAGTCGGAAATAGCCTTCGATTTTTTCTACCGCCAACGGTTTTCTTGCAATAAGGCATTTTATTTGCTGCTTATACTCGTAAAATATAAGGCTATGTGTGTAAGAGTACCAATAAACACTCGAATAAACATTAATCTCAGAATGTTGTTGTCGATGTTGGTCCTGAAGTATCTCTTAAAATGGCCAGCAACAATCAGCAAGCAAATTGACACTCCATTTGCCTTGATACTGTTTTTCCATAGCAGAAATGTCTTGGTGGAACCGTTCACCATGTTCATCACTAACCACACCTAAATTTTCCGGAAATAAATCGAGATGAGAATCCAAAAAGTGAATTTTTAGAGACATGTTACATCCCATTCCTTGATAAGCATTAATTAGTTCACTCACAATATCTTTATAATTGTCCGCCTTCACATTGTCTAAAAATTTTGCAGTAACTGATTTAAAAGCATTCCAAGCTCGTAATTCAGTTACATTTAGAGCGCTGTTAAATACATCATCCTTCATGATTTTCCGTATTTGCAGACCCACGAATATGCCCTCTTTAATTTCTGTCTCACTAATTCTCGGAAATGTTTCTTCCATTTCGATCCATAGCTTTCACAAAATTTTTCATCAGTCCCAACTTAATATGCAAAGGTGGAAGCAATCACAATAAACTAAAAATAACATATCGTTTTAACAAAAATCAACAGTACTCAGAACATCTCAATACTATTCAACACAGAAAACGTAACTGACTCGGCTGCTATTAGTCTGCTAATAAACGCAGTATGGTATCTAAACATAGAGCTCGCATATAATAAACGGGAATAGACAGGTCTTTTTAGATTTGATTTAAGGGTCTCAAAATACATAAGATACACCCAAAAATTGTCATGTCACAAATCCTGTGTTTATCAGTGATATCTATTCTTCTTATCTAATAAGAATTTTGATTGACAACTATATCAGGTGGCGTGTTCAAAGCAATGCAACCCAAAACTGGTGAGCGCTTAGAAATCCCATCCATTAATCCTATTTCAACAATTACAGGTGGGAAATGCCGGTTGGGAATCGCCCGATGGAGCTGGCAGGCAAGACACCGGCGAACTTAAACGAAAATTACGAGAGAAAGAGGAAAGAATAATGGCATTGGAAGGGGAATGTGCGAAATGGGAGCAAAGGTTTTTGGAAGAAAGCACGCTTAGGCAGGCAGCTATTGACGCGGCCAGTATACCAAAGTAAGCAAGCATGAAAAACGAAAGAATTTGGATAATCATAAAAAAAACTCGCGTTTTCTTTGCAAAAATCAGTTGTTACAAAATGATTTTTTATAATTTCTCTGAACACAAAAAGTGATTCGTTTTGCTAATTTCAGTAATTCACACTTTATCATGCCTTATTTTCATTTCACAATCCAGAGGCGTTTACTATACTGTGTATTTTTTCAAGGGATGCTAAGATAGCAGCACTAGAAAAAACTAGCCAAGAGACTGAGAAAATAATAGCAGAAGCTAGAAACGAGAAGATTCGACATATGGATGAAGTCCATGCGGCTCAGAAAAGGGTAGCTGATTTAGAATCTAGGTAAATTAGACTAGCTACTTCTAAATTTTTTTTGTTTGCTCCAAAATGTTGAAAGTATTAAGTTTAATACCTTTTAGAAACATTACGAACATAAAATTTATGTTTTATTTTAGGTTGAAAGATTTAGAGTCAAAGTTGGCCGAGAAAGATGCTATGATTAGGGTCCTACAAAAACACACATACGACAAGGATGTTTCCAGTATGTTAGGTAGATCTCCACATCATACACCACATGGAAGCCTCAGTGGTACGGATATTGACCACGTTCTGGGTACAACAGTGTCTAGAGAAGAACTAGGTAAGTAGTGTGCAAATATACAGGGTAACCAATATTTAACTGACTGATTTAAATTGTGCGCCATTTTTGATACACGCATTTTAGTAGGTGGCGCCGTAGTAGTTGTTTAAAGCACATGTGTCCAATTCATCATGGAGCGCTACACGATCCCAGAACGCGTCCGTATTGTTAAAACATTTTACTTAAAGAATGAGTCGATTGTTGCAACGATTTGGAAGCTACGACAAGATTGCGGTCGAAATAATGTGCCCAGTGTCAACACCATTCGTCAGTTGGTGCGCAAATTTGAACAAACAGGTGAACTTAAAGACTTGCCAAGGTTGGGCCGTGTTCGAACTGTTCGAACTCTGGAAAATATTGGGAGAGTCGTGAAAGTGTGGTGGAGCACCCTGAGACGTCTACCAGACATCGTTCTCAAGAACTGGGTATTCGTCGCACGTCATTATGCACTATTTTGAAAAAAGACTTGCATTTGCGGCCTTGCAAAATTCAGTTAACCCCAGAACTACAGACTAGTGACCATGAGAGTCGCCGACAATACAGTCATGCAATATTACAGCTTAATACCCAAAATAACAGAATTGTCGTATCTGGGCATCAGAGAACCCTTGTGTCATCCATCAACGACGACTACATCCTCGTCGAGTCACAATTTGGTTGGTGTCATTGGATCTTACTTCTTTGAAGACGCTGCAGGTAATTCTCGTACTGTCACTGGCGAGCGCTACCAGGATATGGTGCAAAACTTTCTGGCTCCTCAAATCTAACAATTTAACCTAAAAAACATGTGGTTTCAGCCTGTGCAACTTTTCACACAGCTAGCGAAACAATGAATCTTTTGCGAAAAATATTTCCGGGACGTTTAATTTCTCGATTTGGTGATGTCAACTGGTCACTAAGGTCACCGGATTTAACGGCTCCTGTATATTTATGGGGATTTTTGGAAAATAGGGCTTATGCCAACAAACCAAGTACTGTTTCAATAAAAGATTAAGATGAAAAAAATTGACGTATTTTATTTCATTTCACAAATATTCAAGATGAATGAATGAATGAATCTTGAATTTTTTTAGAGGCATCCCGGCCACCATAAGGAGCCAGTGCATAGGCCGCTTAAGCGGGCCCTTATGCACCTCTACAATACTTAAATCACAAGCCTCGCCCTTTTAGCGAAGTTGAGAATCGCCTTGAGTCCAAGCTCCTTTACGTCCTGAAGGTCCAAAGTAATGGACCCCAGTATAGTCTGCCTATAGTAGCTCAGAGCTTCACAGCGACACAAAACGTGTGCCGAGGTCTCTTCCTCTACTCCGCAGCGTTCGCACAAGGGATCCTCAGCCACCCCCATCACGTGCAGGTGCCGCCTTAACGTGTTATGGCCAGACAACAGTCCCACCAGCAACCTTAGGTTGGCTCTACCCAGAGATAGGCAGAAGCGTCCATCCTTAGCACTGGGCCCTTCAATGAGCTCTCGTGCCTGGCGGAGATGTCTAGAGATACTTCTCCATTTCGGAGAGTGTTGTCTTGCAACCCACGTCTCCATTTTCCTCCTAGCTTTATGCGCGGTTACTCCTAGAGCTGGCTCAGGACCAACGAGCTTGCTGGCTGATCCTGTTTTCGCCAGAGTGTCCGCCGTCTCATTGCCCCTTATCCCAGCGTGCCCCGGTACCCGTATTAACGATACCGGATGCCTCGCTGCGAGGCAATCCAGAGCCTCCCTGCATTGCAATACAAGACTCGAAGTAATCTTACATGCACTTAGTGCTTTCATTGCAGCCTGGCTGTCGGATAAGATTGTTATTCTTCTCCTAGGCCCACCCTCCTCCAGAATGTGAGATACACAAGCCAGAATCGCAAAGATTTCCGCCTGGAAAATGGTGGTGTACTCACCGAGAGGCAGAGATAGCCTAGTTCTAGGTCCAGAGACCCCAGCACCTGAGCCCTCTTCGGTGACCGAGCCGTCCGTGTACCAGACCTGCCCGCTCACTTCGGAGAGTCCTCGGCTACCGGCGTCCCACTCCTCCCTCGTTGGGTACTCCACAATGAACTTGCGGTTGAAGCGATATTTAGGGGTAATACGATCACCCCTGCTTAGAAGGACGGGGTCCTCCCTTTCTAATTCGACTAATATGGCAGTATGCCCCTTGTCCGGATTCAAGAAAGCCCAGCTGCCCTGACTCCACAGTCGATGAGCGACTACTCTCGCTTCACCGCGGATCACCAGATCCAACGGTGGGAGATCCAACAGAGCTTCCATTGCACTCAATGGCGTTGTTCGCACTGCGCTTGTAATGCTAATACAGGCCAAACGCTGAATTTTATTGAGTTTGGCCTTAGTTGACTCAGTTCTAATGCAAGGCCACCAGACCAGGGAGCCGTACAAGAGAGATGGACGTACTATCGTCGTGTAGAGCCAGTATACCACTTTGGGTTTAAGCCCCCACCTTACACCGACAACACGTCTACAAGCCCACATCGAATTGCGAGCCTTGCTAACCTTGTGTTCCACATGCTCTTTCCAGTTCAGTTTGCAGTCCAGGATAATTCCCAGATATTTCACTGACTGAGACAAAACTAATCTAGTCCCAAAGAAGGTAGGCATGACCAGTCCGTCAAGCCTTCTTCTCCTAGTGAATAGGATCAGCTCGGTCTTTTCAGCATTAACAGAAAGATCGACTTCCCTACACCACGATTCCACGGAGCGTCCTTGTTTCATTTGTTTCTTATCAAGTACATACCTTCTTTAACTTACAAAGGGATGCATTTTTTATTCCTTACAGGTCTTTACCTTAAACGTCAGTAGGCGAGGAAGTGTTTATTGTATTCGCGAACAATTTCGGAATCGTTCTACTGTTTTTGGATATTGCAGTACGAAAAAGCATGGCAATCATTTTCAACGGCCTGTCCGGTAATCTTTCGACTCAATATGATTAAGTACTGCTCGAATTTTCGTAAAATGTTGATTTGAAACGTACTACCACGTCAAAAAAGAAAAACGAATTTTCATAAAATGTTGATTTGAAACGTACCACCACGTCAAAAAAGAAAAAACTTTTGTAGGTTTTGAAGATCGGTAGTGGCGAAACAGGGAATATGGCGCAGAAAGCCAACTTCAACCTTATTTTATGCGTATGCGCTATAAAAATTACGAATAGTAATAAAAAGTGAGAAAATTACGCGACAAATTAAACATATCGAAACGCTACGCAATTGATGCGACGTCACGATAGCGGCAAGTGAGCAGCCAAACCTTTGTCAACCTATCAGTTTGCTCAGTTCCAAAGAGTACTAGTTTACATCATATAGGCCACTGAGCTATGCACTACGATGCTTCAAGCGCCTTTTTCAACATAGATGTCAACGCCGTTAGACGGCGGACGTGCTGCCACCAGCAGGAGATTTTCGCCAGCAGGACAACACGTCGGAAAAACAACAAAAGAAAAATTGAACCCTTCAAAACTTGACAGCAAATGAACCAAATATAAAGCAGTTTTAAGCGGTCAACCGTGATAAATCGCAGTTATTCCTTGATTATGCCCTTGATTATTCTGTGATTGCTACACGCAAACGGTTTGTAGTGCAACGGCTATGATTATAAATATAATTCAAATATAAACAAATACTGTGATACTAACAGCACACCTAATTACTTTTTAAATTCTGCTAAAGAAAACAATGAATGACTCCATTGAAACTCAGTAGTTCTACACTTATTGTCATTTGATATCGCTTTTTTCACTGATAACTTTTTATGGAAAATTATGTCACAGACGACACAAAACAAAGACAAAAGGCACAGAAGAACAGGAAAGGGTTAGGTTTTATAGAGACCGCCACCTGTGCAAGGTTGTTATTGGTCTTAACTGTCAGTAACAGTGGCGTCACGAAAGGCCAGTTCGTGACGTGATCATTTGACTGCTATTACAAGCCGCTTCGCTTCAAATGGAAAAATTAAAACCAGACAGGACCGGTTTATGGTTGGTAGATCGCTTAAAATTGCTTATAGAATAAACCATGAATATAAAATAAACATTTAATTAAAGAAATTGAAAAAACTGAATTTACTATGAAAAAAAAGAAAAAACACAAGTTCGTTTAGGCGCTTTTCACTTCAGGAAGTAGTAAAAATAATCTTTGGTGGGTTCATATGGAGCATTTCTCATATTTTTGCCTATCGCTGTCGATTTCTTGGATAAACTCAATATTTTAAATAAAGTTACATCATTGCATGTAGAGTGCTGACGCAATCAACTTGACTTGATTTCTACCTGACTACTGAAAGAGGAGGTTTATGTTTTTCGCGCGTGTGTATTTGTGAGGCCAAAAAATTATATTTCACGGGCTACAGTCCAAATGGCTTTAGCAATGCGAGTTACACTGAATATACTAAAATTTTATAAAATCACCACAGCGGATTTTGATCGAAAATTTCAACTTTGACGTTTCTATTCCATGGGCTACAGTAAACGGCTTCGTGCATTTATGCATATATGAGGTGTCTTTAGATTTTTCTTGAAATTGCGAGTGACACTATGTATACAATCAAAATGGCGGTTTTAATGAAAAAGTTCAAATTTGAAATTTCCGTTTCAACTTAAACGAATTGATAGATTTTGAGATATAAGGTGTCTCTAGATTTGTCTTAACAGTGAGGGTGACATTGAGTACACCAAAATTTCACTAAATAAAAATGTGAAATTTTTGTTTCACGGTCTATAGCCCAGTTTCATGTATTTTCACATTTGAGATGTCCTTAGATTCGTCTTGATAGTACAATTAAACATTGATTCTTTTCAGTTACTGCAGTCGTTTTTTTGTACTTCTTTAAAATGAACTGTTTTGTAAATGATGGTATCCCATGCCTGTGGGGCACAGTTATAGTTTGTGCTCACCATTTGGGTGGTTATCTTAGGCTAACTTATTGTCGGCATTGAAAGGGTTAACTTATTGCCGGCGGGTGTAGTGGACGGCTTGATATTTTGTATCTTTTCACTAATTGTCAAGTCTGACGAGGTCTGTAAATTAAGTAGTGATACTGATTTAAAAAAATATTCATATATAATTACCCAGCATGGGAGTCGGTTCTTCCACTCCTTATAGCAGTGGGTCGTACTCAAACACCCAAGACTCGTCACCAGTAATGACACGTTCCAGAAAATCGGGCTCATTTTCAATCGAATCCTAAAAGTAAGGCTCCTTTTCTTCCTGATGTCCTTTTGGTCTTGCGAAATGTTTTTTGGAACCATTTATGCGCAGATTTTTCTCATCCACATTCACTTGATGAACGATGATGTGAGTCAAATTTAACTCTTTCCCGATCATTCTTCATCGGTTGTTGAAGATGAAGGTCCTCCGTTTCGTGGTTCGTCTTCAATCGACTCTCTCCCTTCTAAAAATGCCTTGAACCACCCAAAAACCTGGGCTCTTGACAAAACACTATCTCTGTAGGCCTGCTGAAGTTTAGCAAGAGTTTCCGTTTCACTGTCGCCAAGTCTGAAGCAGAACCTTATAGCACACCGTTGCTCCAAATTGATTCCAGTCAGTTTTAGAACTCAATAGAAAAAACTTTCTCAAAAAAAAAAATCGCTGCGGACTACCAAAAGAGTCGAGCGAGGTCATACTTGTACTGAATGCGGATCACATGTTTCCCTGCAAGCCCGGTGCCTTCAGTGTTGCCAGATCGAACGCTACGTTGCGAGTCTTTTTACTTATTTACAAAGCTCGTATCAGTTGGTTAGACTTTTGGAAAAAGTAATAGTTTTTAACTTTTGCTTGAATAACTCAAAGTTTTTCTTTGAATTACAGTAAACAGCGTCCTGAACAATTCCTCGGCGTACGGCTCGGCGTCCTCGTACAGCGGAGCTGGCGGGTCGAGTTCCTCCGCTTCAGAGTCAGCGTACCACCATCGACATGCTGTTAGTCAACAGGGGGCGCTCGAAGCGCGGCGATTGCAGGACATTGATACCCAATTGGATTCGCAGCTGCTCAGCAAGGTAGGACACAATCTGGAGACGTTCATTTGATGACTGTGTCGCGCTTTACGTTATGGGGAGTTACGTTCGATCTAAGGTGCTATGGGGAAGAGGTATTATTGACCGCCATTTTGACTCTATTCAGTGGCGATGAAATTCTTCCCGCGAGATAATTGCGACAAGCACTGAGATCGTGCTTAAACTCAACGAGAATTGTAGCAAACACCAAAGAATAATTAATTTTATCAATATATAAAGCAATGTCGGGTTGGTACTTCATCATATCATTGATTAATATATTATTCCATTAGAAGATACCCAACCCAGCTGAAAGCCGTGTGTTTCCGAAAATAAGCATGCCTAACGTGTGTATAGGTGTCACCTCTAAACTGTTTCACTGGTTAATGGATTTTCTTTTCCGTCGTTGAGAACTTATGAGGTTACGTGCTCAGGAACAAGTACGAGGAAGGTTGAGGGGTGATCTTTCTTTGGGAGATTGATGTAGTGTTTAAGAATAAACATTTTGCTTTAAATGAAAATTGAGATATCACAGTCTGTTTTTATAACTTCAAAGGGAATTACTGAGACCTACTTGACTCATGGCTGTGGCAATGAAAATTGTATGCGAACGTCCAAATATGGTTGGGCATCTTCTTGGAGAATGCATTAGCGATGTCGAAAATTAACTTTCTCATACATGTATAACAAAACAATGCTCACTGTCTGACATCCCAATCTGGAATGACTGAAATCAAATTGGTCGTCAAAGGTACTCTTTTCTGTAAAGCCTTAGTTCGTTCGTTGTCTATATCATCCTGTTCTGTACTCTGGATTCGCCATGGTATACCTGTTGTAGTATGCATTGGAATGATGGCATTAGTGGCAGCCGTAATAAGCAAAATCGCATTGCAACGTTGTCGCGCAACTCAGTTGACTACGCGGAGAAGCAGGTTCGCGAACATTCCAGGCCTTAACTCTTGCTAACGGCAGACACGTAGATTTTAACAGCGTTCAATGAGAATGTCTGCCAATCAAGATTTTTGTAGTTTAGACAATTTTTTGTATAAGATTTGGTTGGATTTCTCAGAAAATTGGTTGAAAAATGTAGATTAAACAAGAAATTGTTTGCAAAATATAACGTGTTCTGTGGTCTTTTTCACGAGTATAGTTTATGTTATGACGTCTACTGAGGTAAACAGCTGATCAGCAATTGACATTTTTGTATTAAAGTGTTTAGTGTTGTCAATAATGAATCGGATTTCAGCCGTTTTCAGAATTGTTTATACAAAACATGGTGAGAACTGTTTATCTTGTTTTGTTCCTACCTGACTTGAAATATAGAAATGATTGTTAGCAACCATTTTGGTTGTCAGGAAGTACGAATCGCTATCATACAAAGGCTACAACAAAATACGACTCTGTTTACAGATCTAGCATTGACAGATCTGTTAGTGATGCATGTCACTTGTCGATATGCGGTGTTTCTAAATGTTACCAGAGCCGCTTTCCAGTGCCCTATTTGTGTTACTCAGAGTAATGTGGAGCAACCCACCACCTGTCAATACCGTTCCAGTGCTTAAGAGTGTCAAACATCTGAGTTACTCATTTTTGAAATCCCCTGCCCCCTTATGCATCAGCTTTTTATTCGGTGTTATACGCTCCGAAATAGTGGAGATAACGAAAATGACAATGTGCCAAGATTTTTAGGTTATGTTTTTCGATACCAGACAATGGAGGATGGTCAAAAACTGATAATTTTATGACCCAGAGTCACAATGCACATTAGAGATGTTCCTGAATAGTAAAGATCACAAGAGAGTGCAAGAATGCAGGTTCATAGCGGCTTGTAGCCACTTTGAAAATAATTTTGAATGTCTACACTAAAATATGAATTCCAGAAGCTTTACAATAAAAATGCAGATCTCTGTTGTGCCATCAATTTAAAATCATCAGGATATGACAATTTTTTATTGAGAAATAGGATCCTAAATGCACAGAAGTGCGAACTATTTCTTGTACCTTAAATTGCGTAACAACATTTTCTCACTCCATATCTTGCCCCCAAAAATCTACAAGAAACATTGTCTAAAACAGTCTTTAGACTTATCAATTTCGAAACAGAAATGCTCATTGCTACGTTAAATCCGATAAGTCTGTTTAGCTTCGAATACATTCTGTATCAAAATACATTTTTATAAAATCTGTCCCTCCATTTGTCTTTGTCTTTGTCTTTTTTTTTTCTTCATTTTTGTTTTCTCTCCTCTCTTTCTTCGACTTTGCCTAATTTCTCGGTATTCAGATCGACAGAGTGACTGAGTGAGAGGGTACGACATAAAGGCAACGGTCTTGTGTATAAAAAGCGTCGTTAATATATTGTTTTGTGTTATTTCTTTTTATTTGAGTACTTAAATAAAATTGAGATGACGTTTGTGTTCTATTTACGTTGCCCATCTTCGTGATTTTCCGGAGCATCTGACATATAAATTAGACTACTTCTCATCATCTTATCTATCCTCAGAAAGTAAATATGGGTCTGATAACTTGTATAACTATTGTTATTAAAATTGAATATGTTAAGGCCTTAGTAATATGTTTCCATTCTGAACGTTTTTTTCAACAACAACAGAAATTACACAGGTGGGAGTCAATTTTTCTACAATCTATATGATCATATTTGAATGCATACTCAAGGTACTAAAAGAAGACATTTAGATATCGGAAGTGAAATTGTAAATGTACCCGAAAATATTGCATTTTTTAAATGCGTCCAAATTTTTGATGTCGACAAAAAACTTTACAGCATAAAGACCATTGATTTTTGATTATACGATTTTTTTTTATTTAAACTATGTACTATATTCTGTAATGTACTAAATCTGTATCATTATTTAACTTATTTTTAGTAACCAAATAAATATAGCCATGGTAATTCCATACATAGATATAGGATCACAAATATTGTAAACATAATTTTTATGAAACAAACTTACTCCAAGATAGTATTTTTGAAATTTGAATAGTACAGAACAGCCTAAACATGATCCTTTCAGTATTTCTGTAGCAATTTTCACAGTCAAATAGTGAGTCTTTGTTTGCTTTTTTGGGGTTGTCTTTTTTAATTTCTATATAACATATTCATAATGCTGTGTGTTTGAATTACTTTTGTACCGAATTTTTGTTGCTGTCTTTCTTTTCTATTTTTTGTTTGGCTTGTGGATCTATATGCATGTATTTTATGTTTGTTGTATAATAGCATGAACAATAATAAAAAAATCAAATGTTATTTTGAATTTGCGCAGTTTTCATTTCTCCTGCTTTAACCCCTAATTGAAAAGGTAGTGAGAATTACATCTTCTACATCTATATAAAACATCTTTCAAAATCACTAAACTTACTGCACATTTGTCTTGAGCAATTTTACTTCATTCTTTTATTTGGTGTTTTATTTTGAATGATGTTGGTTGCTGCTCAAAGTTTGTTATCGCTGTTATACCATAACTAATGATGACGTTGAATTTTTCCATTGAAAATAGAACACCATTCCTTTGTATTTAAAATTTGGACAATATTTCTAAAGCGTTATGGTAAGTAGAATATTTTTCTGACACAATAAAAGGTGAGAGGCCAGTGTAATTCTCAGATTTTGGTTAGAGCTTTCGATATACTATTTAAAATACCATGTTATCTGTTTTGGTTGATACATTTTGGGTTCAAAGCTTTTCAAGCTTTCCCGCAAACAATTTATATTGGGAAATATAAAATAAATCAGAAGATAACCGAAATAGTCAGATTTGATATTTTTATGTAGTGAAAATCGAAAGCTCTAATATTTTCTAGTCGTTCGGCGTAACTAGATGCTCTATTAACAATTACAGGCTGTCGCACACACAATACCCAAAAATAAGAAAAAAAACGTGACGAGTTTGCTTTTATGTCTCTGGACATCATTTTTTTCTTATTTTTGACTTGTATCAGTGCAACATCCTGTAAAGCCCCGCATGTGCAATGTACAGGGTGAAACTGAAATACACGTGAACACGTATACGTATTTGTATTCGCAAACAGTTGTCTGTGCTGATCATGTTTACGAAGAGTCCCGACGGTATAGTTAAAAATGTAAACCAACAAACTTCAACAATGAAGTCGGAAAGCATTGCAGAGTGACATTTTCGCGTGACTCGAATCGCTGCTGTTCTCATTGATGTGTGTATAGCTTTAGTCGTGTGAGGTCGTCTAAGTCAGTAAGGTACGGTACATTAACCTTACGACAGCTAACATACTTTTTTGTATGCTGTGATGAAGGAAAGAACTAGAACGTTGAAGTGAACACAAAATTTTTAGTTTACGTGCTCACACACCAGTGCAAAAAACACCTCTTCATGAGTCTTGAAGGAAGGGGTAACCACATATATTCCCAAAAAATGTGTTACTTTGCAGACAAAACCTATTTAGCACATTACATATCCAAGGATTTTTCCGCAAGAACTAATCTTTAAATTAATTTTTGGATTTATTCAAAGTACTCGAATACCAGTTGACAGTGGCAAGTCTCGATGTACTTCCTTATCCTTGCTCTCCCTGATCTTCTCCTTTCATTTTCACTTTTCTCCCTGACTTTGCTTGGCTACCACACCTGTAAGACCCTCTGACCTACAGTACTTTAACCAAGAGCAAAAGTCCTACAGCTCAGACAGACAATGACTAATAAAAGAAAAAAGCCAGGATAGTCTGCAAAGTACTAGGGTTACAGATTTTGTCTTGAGTATTTTGGAATATGAAAATAACAATATGGTGAATAAAAGAAGTTTATGAATCCTTTATTAAATTTGATCCCAAAGAATGCTATATTCTGGGCATAATTTTGCTTTTAAGTACTTTAAGAACGCCATGTTATTGTGACCTGTTAAAACTTTGAACATATGGTGCATCATGCATACAACGTTCTGCAGAATGTGTTTGTATTGTGCATGTAGATAGAAAGGAATTCAGGAATATGTGTATAGGATGAACACTACAAAATAGCGTAAGTATAGTACGTAGCATTTGAAATAAATTATGTTTCTGTATGACCTGATTGTAATGAATGAATGCTTTATGGAAGGACGGAAGAGAATACTAACAGTTATCTTCCCAGAAGTCAGAACATTTAGTTACACTCTAATTATTGCTATAATTCGCAAACTTAGCAGCAGATCGTACGTAGAGTTGGGTTGCAGTAATATTGGAAATTCCATTGTAGCCTCCGAGTGTGTTTAGTCTTTGGAAAACAAATTTTTGAAAGAGAAGCCTATACGCTATTATTATACATATATTTTTATGACATTCTCAGATGTGACACTTATCCTGTTATTAGAACACTATGATATTCTGGTCAAATGACAGGTAACCAAATAAGTTCGTGCGGTTTTTAGTAGAAAAATATAAATTTTTATTGAGAAACAATAAGGCAATATTTATTCGTCGAAGTAATTACCATCACATTTTGCCAACGTGGAACCAATTTTTGTATGCCGGTATTGTAGAACTCCCTGGATTTGGAATCAAAAAATTGCCGGACTGCATTTATTACACCATCTCGAGTTGTGAACTGTCGGTGCCTCATACAGTTGTCAAGAGACACAAAAGGTGATAATCACTGGGCGAAATGTCGGGAGAATATGGCTGGTGCGGTAACGTTTCCCAGCCGAGTTCAGACATTTTTTCTCGGGTCACTTTTGCGGTATGAGGCTTGGCATTATCCTGCAAGAATATCACTTTCTTCCGATTGATCAAAGAAGCCTGTTTCTGGATGAGTGCTGGTTGTACTCGTTGAAGCTGCCCACAATACAAGTTAGCAGTGATGGTTTGACCCCTTTCCAAAAAATTATAATGGACAATTCCAGATGCTGTCCACCAAACACACAACAAAACCTTGTTTGGGTGCAAGGAAGCCTTGGGCGTGTGTGGTACCGAATCAGTAGGCAAACGCTTAGAATTCGAATACAAGATCCATTTTTCGTCGCAGGTTAATAACCGATTAAGAAATGGTTCATTAGCGTTGCGTGAAATGTTTGCTGAATAAATGGTAAGACGACTTAATTTGTTATCATTTGTCAGTTCATGTGGGACCTATTTACTCAACTTCCTCGTCTTTCCTAGCCGATGAAGATGCAAACGAATAGTTTCAGGAATCCCTCTGAACATTTCTGCAAGTTCTTGGCACGTTGTCCTGGAATTTGCGTCCACAACCTGTCGAAGATCCTAGTTGTTCATGATTTTTGCTCTCGCTGAGCGCGGTTCATCGCTCAAACTGAGATCTCCCGAAGAAAATTTTTGGAACCACTTCTGTGCTGTTTGATAACTAACGGCATCATCTCCGAATGCGATACATATTTTTCTTGCCGCCGCTCCAGCTTTTGTACCAAGTTTGTACTCATACAGTGAACAACTTCGTCGCCATTTTCAATCATTAAAATGTAACAATTTTCAGCAACTTTTTATGTGTGTGTGAGAAAAGAAGGATTCATACTAAAGTGACAACAGTTAATAAACAATTGCTATCGATCAACAACATCCTTGGCAATGTACGAGATACAGAAACCGCACGAACTTATTTGGTTACCTGATATATCTAAATTACTTTTTACTGACTTTTAGGCCACCACACCACGGTGACCTTTATCAAAGTACACGTTAATGACAATACATTTCATATTTATCTGTCTTCCACGTGACAACTCATTTGTTTTTCGTTTCTTCGCTACTATATTGTGCGTTGCGACAATAGCCTGAACAGTGCAGATGCAGCATTAGTAGTCGCAGATTGCAACAGTTCTGGGTGGAGGACGTTTGGCGTTTTCGGGGCGATGAACGGGGGTGACTTGTCTATCCAAAACAATATATAACCTCATGCTCGCTTATTGCTTTGGAGGGGCTGGACAACTTTCGGAAGAGGGAACTCGTACACCAGACCGTTCTGGGCTTTGTTGGTTTTAAACGGCTTCATCTTAAAATTGTAATGATTGCTTCGCGCGATCTCGTCGTGGTACAAGGCCGTTCAGGCTGTTGTCGCAACACACTGTTGAATAGCGAAAAAAAGAAAAAACAAATGAACTGACACCTGGAAGACACATAAATATAAAATATATTGTCACTTTCACTGTACTCCGGAAAAGGCCACCTTGGTGGCCGAAATGTCAGTAAAAAGTAACTTATATGGTTTCGTTTACCCAGAAAATTACGGAGTGCTATTCTCAGATTTATTTGGTCTCCTCCAATATATGAGATATTCATTTTTCGAAGTGCTCATTCCTTCCTGGCGTCATATGCGTATGACAATGTCGCTACTTATATTTTTATGATGAACAGAAGCGCATGAAAAACGTCAGCAGGCATTGTTACAACCAATTAAGTGGTGATATAAAACAAGGCTATGCAATTATTCTTACTTGAAGATATCTGAAACGAATCTTATGTATGCCTTTAGCATTACCGATACTAACGTGTATTTCAATAATCCCTGTGTATATATGTGTGGCCCGGTGACGCGTGCAGTTTTTCAGTGTGGTGTGCCCCCGAATTAACATAACCTCAACGGCGATCGATCAGTTTCAGTGGGCGGCCGCACCAGTCTAATGTCCGGCTCTCTCTCCTTTTGTGTGTTTCAGCGGGCGCTTTGCTGTTTTCCAGGATTCACTAATCCAGTCGCTGCGCAGAGAAAGGGAAAACTTCCCAAGCCACTATTGGCAGGTGTAGCGCGCGGCTCGGGGACCGGAGGCGTGGCTGGCGGCGCAGTGCAGAACAGCCCCGCCCCGGTCGCCGAGATGCTGCTATTGGAGAAGCAGGGCAGGGCGTCGCAACAGCAGCGCGGTCCGATTGGCGGAGGAGGCAAGGTGGGCGTTCCCAGCTCGCTGCCCCGCCCTCCTAGGGAGGGGCGCGGGAGCGGTGGGTCAGGTGGCTCCGCCCATCGGTCCGGCTTGCCGCGGTATAACAGGCTGGAGACACCGCCTCCGTCGGAGAGGAAGAAATCGCAGGATGGAGGAAGTGGAGGGGGGAGCAGCAGAGCGTCGCCAGCTAGATCGTCGCTTATTCCGTCGCCCAGGAAACTAGGTAATATCTATATTTTGTTTCATATTTTTTAATTTGGAACTAGGTTAATAGTATAAAACAACTTGAACAAATTCTTTGTTATTTTAGTTGATCTATCAATCTTCAATGATTTAAACCATAAATCTCGTCGCGCTTTCGACAAGTTGTCCTTTATCATTCTCATCAAATAATACTCTACCGCACAATCGAAAAATTTGCAACAGTTCCTCACAATTAAATAGATAACTGTGATAATTTGCAACAGATTCCCGACTATTTGCGCAAGGAATTATAAGAAATAAGCAAAAATAGTGGAACTAATTTACATTGAACTAAATAGCAATCAGTTTGGTTGTCCTCCAACCAATGCAAAGCTAGGCCGTGACGTCATATAAAAATGATCTATTCCTGCATCATACATGAAGCATTTACTTGCTCTAAACATTTATCTAGCTAATCCATTATTATTAATTATAAAAAATTTGTTTTTCATTCGAGAAAATAAGGTATTAGTAAAATTTATGTCGATATTTTCATTGGTTCGTGAAGATGAATCAATTTCGCTTCGTGGTTCATCTTCAATCCACTCTCTCCCTTCTGAAAATGAATTAAACCACCGAAAAACCTGGGCTCTTGACAAAACACTCTCCGAAGGCCTGTTTAACAAGAGTTTCCGTAGCACTGTGCTCAAGTCTGAAGCAAAACCTGATAGCACATCGTTTCTTCAAATTGATGTTACTCATTTTTAGAACCCAATAGAAAAAACTGTTCCACACAAAAAATCGCTACGGCATCCAAATGACTCGACGAGTTCAAACTTGTACTGAAGACGGATCACATGTTCTCCTGTCTCCCCTCCAAGCCCGGAACTTCCAGTGTTGCCAGATCAAACGCTACGATGCCAATCTCGTCACTTAATTTCCAGACCTCGTAGGAACTGTTTATCTATGCCCAGCTCATGAAAAACTGAGGAAATGCTTGACTAATGATTTGATGAAGCAAATGATTAATAATTTCAAGGCCTACCTAGGACATATTGTTTTGCACGGGAGTCAGGGGTGGAGCATAGGGATCAACTCTCGTAAAAAAGTCGGCGTGGCTAGGAAGTAGGAGGTATGGAACTAGCTGTTACCTGCGACTTCGTATCCATCTTTATAGAAAACTTGTCTCATACGTCATTAATTTTTGTTTCAGGCGAATACGGTCGTCTATCAGAAAGCGGCGGTTCTAGCGCTTCATTGCGCAAGCCCCCATCTTCCGGGGCTCGAGCCCGTTCTGGATCAGCGGGCGAGAGGGACTCCGCTTCAACCCTTAGCGGTGACTCCGCTAGCTCCCTCCCACCTCCGTCGAGGCTACGTTTGTACGGATCGCTGCGTAGAGGCGGATCGTTGGGTAGAGAAGATGGTAATGGGAAAGATACGGGCAAGTATCGGATACAGTTTTGATAGTCCAAGGGGTATATCGCAGGTGATTAACTAATTTATGATTTTTGAAACGTGGTTTCATTCAGAAGTCCTCTACAACGTGTTCAAAAATCTCTTCAATAATGCTTTGGAAGCTTCGTAGCGCCCTTGTGAAGTTTGATTCATTTTTGATATGGACATCCATGGAATGTGACGTTACCGTACTCTCAAGGCATATAGCGCAATTTTATTCGAAGTATAGAGTGAACATTTAAAGTTTGAATCGGCTTTAAAAACAGTTATGACAAATCATCACAACTGGCAGCGAAGTGAAAACTAACAAAGCCATCCCATAACATTTATCCTTAATGCCGCTTCCCACAACAATAACAATCATCAAGTTAAATCTCATGCCTGCGGAATATCCAATATTGTCGGATGAAGAAAAATACCAATCAATAACGACCGGTATATTTTGTCCGCGAGGGCAGCTTACTATTCATCTGTAAAGCTTGTTTGGCAGGCCTCAGCACAAAAGATGCATCTCAATATTCGCAAAACTGTTCACAAAAATTACTTTGAAGAGCTACACGATGATGCCAGAAAAACGTCCTTGTGCGGACTTTGACAAGATTTGGTTTTGGATATGTTGTATAGGACTAATAAACAAGATTCAAAAATCATAAATAATCCTGTGGATTTTTGTTTTACCGCGTCTGACTGTATTCGCTGGACTATATTCTGATTTTGAGTTCTGCCGACTAAGTCCGGAGAGGAGAAAAAGAGACAGCATTATATGAGACAGCTTGAGAACTACTTATTGATTTTGCTGAAAAAAGTAACTTTGATAACATTCTTTCAAATACTGTTAGTGGCTAAATTTGCTTTAAAGCTTTCGTTAATATCTTGAAAATGTTGGTTGTGTAATATCATAAAACCTCAGAAGAGTCAGAACAGAAGAACGCATTTCTATGATCGTGATTAGTGTATCTGCCTATTGAGAATCAAATTCAGAATTTGGTTATCCAAAGGTTAAAGCCATAAATGCTCTTATTAAACATTTAACAAATTATGAAGTGTCTAGGCGTAGCTTGACAACTTGACTTTTGTTTCATGGTCTTTTGACATCTTGAGTTGGTGAAATGATTATTAAGTGACATGTCTCTGCTGTTCATATATTTTGTAAGCAAGATCTAATTCTCCATCAAGTGACATACTGCTGGTTGCTGACGCAAACACCTGTTGTAAATAAATGTGCCTTATTCGAAATAAATAGATAAGGAAGTTTCATATTATTGGACGAACGAATGTTATGTTGTGTCGAACGTATTTTTCCATCACGTATTTTGTGCTATCAAATGTGATTTGTATTTATCTCTACTATACTTTTAATACACTTTAATGAAAACATTGTCTTTGCCTGAGGTTACTGAAAAGGAGATATATTGTACATGATTTATGATAAGTTATATCTCTGTTGGTATTAAAAAACAATATCTCAGAAATACGGTTTTTGAAAACAAATGAGGCATATAAAGTGACTAGTGTCACCAGTGTTGGTCAGAGCTGATACTCCTACTTTGAGATATTGAATCAAACATCTGGATGCTAGGTGGCCATCAAGCAGGTCAAGGATGCTGGGCATAAGGGTGAATGGATATAAAGGGTGATTTAGAAAACGATGTCAATATTTTTAGAGCAGAAAGTACTTTCAAATGCCCCATTACCAAGATACATGGTGTTGTAAATTTCTACTTCACTCATGAATATTGAACAAATAATAACGCTATTCTGAGTTAGGATTATTCTTTACACAAACACGGATACCATTTTCAGTGCCAAACTTTACTAGCTCCTAAGGTATTTTTAAATTTCAAATTTCCTGTATATCAGCTTTGACAAACAAACGGGAGTATGCCGGAATGATGATTCCGGACAAGGATGAAACTGCACCGCACACGATTGACAATGCAGACGGAAAACAATTACATACAATGAAGTGTGTTTTGTACAAGTCCTAGGGATAAGACTTTTTATGAGATATTAGTTCTAATGGTACCTGTAACTCTTTTTCATAGGTACCATCGACTTCACATTCACCTATCCTAGTCTTTTACCAAATACTAAATATATTCGTTTTTGAATATATTGCACCTGTCAACCTCTAATCTATTTTATTTTGTCCTTATACGAGGGACCAAATAGCTGTCTTTATTACCTAGTTGGGTAAAGGCAATGTAAGCCATACTCTGTCAATTTCGAGTGCCTTGTAGATTTACGACGAAAATTAATTTTTATTTTTTGTCAAGAATCGCTGTTCATACAATTTTTATACTGTTCATTCGTAGCAGGATCATTCAGAGCATTGAACTTAATGATGTATATTTGGTCAAGGTATAGAAATCATTACAGATTTGCAGTCCTACGTATATAGGTTTCATTTTTTTCAATTGCGTTCTCCTTAATGAGATTTTATGTGATTCTGTTCATGGAGTCAATGCTCTAATGGTTTTAATTTATGCTTTTATTTTACAACTTTATAGCTAGTCTGTATTTTTAATATATTGATGTACTATTATTATTACCAAATAAAAGAATGGAAATCATAATATCGAGTTTTAATGAGTTATTGATATAGCGCCTGATGTAATATTATTCGGTGATCAGCTTATTTATGCAACATCCAAGTACTACAGTTGAATGGGTCCCGAGACAAAGTTTCCTATGTGGGTCTAATACTATTTTTTCATCACTGTTCTCAAGAAAGGTACTTGCCTTTGAGGTCGCTGTCCTCGAATAGCATCGATTTTGTGCTCTCAAAATACGAGGAGGTATGAAAGTGTACTTTGCTTTTGTCAAGGTGATTTCCGACAAAATTGCGAACCCAACAATCTGAAAAGTATAAGTACTTTACAATTTTGGTTCATATCCTGAGGAAGCAGATCACAGAAATACGAGGAGGTATGGAGAAAGTACTCTGCTACTAATATCAAAATAAAAATAGAGTTACTGATGTGAACACCTGAGGTCTGATAGTGCAATGCAATGCAAGCACCCCCCCCCTCCCTCTTCAATTATTAATCGACCGGATTCGCTTCCACAACCGCTGCATAAGCACGCAATTACCCCCCTTTGTCCACGAAAGTCTACCTGGAAAATTCTGGCCATTTGCTCCTCCCCTACTAGACAAATTCATAGTACTGTCGCTGTCTCAGACAAAAACTGCAATATTGTTCCAACACCTCCTCACAAAACGATACAAAACTTGTCGGATGATAACATTTACTATCAGGATAATAGAATCGTGCGGAAGTATAAAAAACGTATTTTGCGGAGAGGTCTCATTCCTCTTGTCGTTTCTGCCATTCTGATACAGATTTCTAAATGACTGAATATCGCAGGTTTTACACAAACGTTCATTGCAAAAAATCACTCAAAAAACTGGATTGATAAGTTGTGCTATAAAGGCAAACGGAACGAGAGTAGGTATCGAAGAGTGCTCTATCCTTCGTTAAGGAGATCTCTGACGAAAGCTCGTGCCTAACTCAAGGGCGGCTTTAGGATTTCGTCTACGGGGGGACAAACGATACTTGGGGCTGGTAATTTTTCGACCGCGGTGGAACTTCAAGAATTTATCCTAATATCGCTCCTTAAATTCATGTGTTATATCTGGTCAATGCCAGCTTGAAACAAAACCATGGAAAATGCTCAGAGTATCTGTGATTTAAACGAATTCAATATAGCAACATAAATAGATACATACGGGAGAAGAGATGCGGGACGTGTGGTATTGACTTTGATCGATCGACGCATTTTCTGGACAGGCCATAGGCGCACCGCTAAAAAAATCTCATAAATGTCTATTTCCAATTTAGGCGTTCATCTAACATAGTGTTTCGCTGCAACACCAACCCCAAACAAAATCAGTCAAGCTTCACACACTTTTCAAATTACTATATTGAGCAACAAACAGATCATAAATCACTTTTTAAGTGCAATCTGTATAGCTAATATTATTACTCAGAATTAGATTTGTCACAAGTCACAATACTCGTATATACGTATAAATCGTCAGAATTGTGGTGTAAACGTCAGTGATGTCAAAGAATACCAAAGGATACAAAAAATCGCAATGTTCAGTTCCTATAGCTATAACTTAGAGTTAGTAAGGCTCAATCGACATGATGTGTCAGAAAGTAACATAATGGACCCCCGCGCCCTCCCCTTAAATCCGCCACTGGCTCAACTAGGAAAAAAGGGAATCAGCACAACTAAACCTTGACCCCACAATTAATTTCGATGCAATTTCCTATGTATCACTTCACAATTAGGGAAACAGAATGTGAGGAGCTATAGAGGAACTTTTTTGTTTCAAATATCAGATTGGAGTGGAAATGCAATTACCGACGAAGACACCTAAAAAACACGGATATTCCTGATACAAAACTGGGTGGGTAATACGAGTATTTGCTGCCAGGGTAACAGAAGCGCGAGGAGGTGCTTTGCTCCTGATTAAGTATATCGTTAACAAAAATAATTGCATCTCTTACATCAAATTGGTGTAGACACCTCTCATCGTTTCTTCAATTTTGGTATGAAGTTTACATAACTTTTAATTTTAACCAAAATGGTAAACATGTTTATTTTCATTTTATATTAGAGTGACAGTAGCTGAACAATACACAGGCGTCAAATAAAACCATCATTCCCATTCCCATTAATTCATATTGTATACTAAGTGACATATAAATCCGAACACCCAGTTTAAATGGTTTTATTTTAATAAAATTTTGTATAAGTACTTAATGAAGTATAATAAGTAAATGATAAAAATTTCAAAATGATTGCACTGCTTTAAAGCCCTTTGACCTTTAATAATGTGTGGATGCACCTTGATGTGCTACGCATTCTCCAACGCGCCTAGGCATGCTTCTGATCAGGTGGTCAATGTCTTCCTGTGGTATCTCATTCCAGGCAACCACCAACTCCTCTCTAAGTGCTTCTAGAGTCTGAGGAGGACGTTGCAAATTGAGCAATCTTCGACCCATCATATCCCACACGTGCTCAATTGGGGACAAGTCGAGAGATCTTGGTGGCCATGGTAACAATGTGACATCATTATTATTGTGACTCTTGCAACATGTGGTCGGGCATTATCTTGTTGGAAAGTTGGATCTGCCAGGGTGTCAAGATAGGGTAAAAGATGGGGTTCTAGAACTTCGTGGATATAATGCTGCGCGTTGATGTTACCTCTGATGAAGGTTAAAGGTGACCTGGAACCATAAGCTATAGCACCCCAAACCATAACTCCAACAGTGTGATGAACATGTCTTTCAACAAAAAACTGTGGATTCCTCCTTTCACCACGTCGCCTTCTAACCCTGGCACGACCATCGTGCATGCCTAAACAAAATCGAGACTCGTCACTAAAGACAATACTGTTCCATTCCTGATCCCAGAGTGACCGTTGTCTGCACCACTCAAGGCGATTACGTCGGTGTTCTCGAGTTAAAGGGAGGACCCAGTGTGGCCGGTATGAAAACAAGCCAAAACTTCTCATTCGTCGGTAAACACTTCGCATGCCAATAAGTCTTCCGTGTTCTGCAAACCATTCATTTGCAATGGACCTGGTGGAGAAACGGTCCCTTAAGGCCAATAATCTTAGGCGGCGATCTTCACGGTCTGTTGTTCTACGGCGGCGTCCAGTGCCCCTTGCTGTTTGCGTACGGCATTCTCGAAGCCATGCCTGACAACACCTAACCACAGTGTCTACACGTCTTTGCGCTCTAACTGCAATTGCCCGAAAAGAAAGTCCAGCTTCCCGAAGTCCCACTATACGGCCCCTATCAAACTCACTAAGTTGACGAAATCGTACAGGTCCCCGTACTCTAGGCATCGTAACCGATCGTAAAGGATGTCAAGAACCAAAATTTGCCAACGTTGATTCTTTACTGCGGCTGAAATATTCATTTTAAGAGCGTTAGTGAATTAAAAAAAAGCAATATAAAAACCGGAATGTCCAAATGATAAGGCCGAAAATTTTTTCACTTGTTATTTACAGTAAGATAATACATTCACCAACTTTTATTAAAATAAAACCATTTAAACTGGGTGTTCGGATTTATATGTCACTTAGTATATTTTAATTTAGCCTAGTCCACGGTTACCTATTCGTGGGAAATTTTTGATGGTAACATATTACATGAGCTTTCTCTGATTCTTAACCAAACATCTAAAAAACTTTACCAATACAAAAGCATTACATGATATTATTATCGATAATTTTCCGGCATCCTATCGAATCTGATATTTTCGGCAGCGATCAAAAAAATATCTTGCGGTAAACAGATTTTAGATGATATCAGCGTGATACAACATCAGTAGCCGAGTGCTTTCATTCTGATTTCGAATGATTAATTGCTTTCAGAGAATGATAAGTCTTTTCGTTTCAAAATTGATGCTACCGAGATAAGAAGTCATACTACCGAATGCCATTCCAAACCAAAGGCGTAGAAATAAGAGAGCAAAGGGGCTTAGACAGAAAACACTAAACAGTGTGTTGTTCAATGGCGTATCCAGAAAAACTCATTTCCTCTCATTATTTTGTGATGTATCATGTATTACGGGTGCAACTTTGGCATAGCATTTGGTTAAAAGTTGTCTTCCTGACACTTCTTTGTTGTTAACAGCATTACGCGTTCAACAGTTTTATGGTACTTTAAAAGAAATTTCATACATTTATGAAAAAATTGACACTAACCAGCTTGGATCCACACATGTTGGACTCAATTCACGGTATCTACACCGGAAATGAATAATTTAATGTCTGGGGATATCTTACTGGACATAGTTTTGCAAACCTTCTATACTCATTCATTACCGCATCCAATTCGAATGTGTAATTTTAAAGATGTCAGACTCAGATCGTTGAGATTTACCATAGAATTTTGGACTTCGAATTGACACCTAGACAATCTAAAGTTTCCAGTTTGCGAATGAAACGTGATACAACACCGCTCCCCCAGTTGATCTAACATCAAATTGATGCCGGATTGGTATTTGTAATCCGTTGATGATGCATTCATCCGATTTACCAAGATTAGGGCACTAGCTCGAAATTGACTCCGAAATAGCAATCTGAAATATGTATGTACGTATGTCTCTTTCCAAACATCTTTGTCCGAAATTCTGGAATTTAGGCGATTACAATATACTAAGTGACATATAAATCCGAACACCCAGTTTAAATGGTTTTATTTTAATAAAAGTTGGTGAATGTATTTATCTTACTGTAAATAACAAGTGAAAAAATTTTCAGCCTTATCAGTTGGACATTCCGGTTTTTATAATGCTTTTTTTTAATTCACTAACGCTCTAAAAATGAATATTTCAGCCGCAGTAAAGAATCAACTTTGGCGGATTTTGGTTCTTGACATCCTTTACGATCGGTTACGATGCCTAAAGTACGGAGACCTGTACGATTTCGTCAACTTAGTGAGTTTGATAGGGGCCGTATAGTGGGACTTCGGGAAGCTGGACTTTCTTTTCGGGCAATTGCAGTCAGAGTGCAAAGAAGTGTAGACACTGTGG